AAAACACTCTAGCAGGGCTGAGGTTGTGTCTCAGTAGTAGAATACTCACCTAGTACTCATGAAGCACTGGGTTCAATCCTCAGCACCACATAAAAAAATAAAATAAAGGTATGTGTCCACCTAAAACTAAAACATAAATATTAAGAAACAATCTATCAAATTTTTATATTAAAACTATTAGAAAATTGGGGGGTCTTCCCTGTCATTGATATCACCTCACTCATTCTTTGCCATCTCTGACCTCCTGGATTTTCCCACTTATCAAGATATGACACTTGGACTCCTTCCAGAAGGCCATCCCCTTGCCTTGGTGAAAGTCACTATGCTGGTTCACTCCCATGATGACAAGGCTAGGCCATCCAATATTATGGGTCTGAGTTCCATCTGCAGGGTCTCCTCAAGCTCTCCTTGACACCTATTTCCATTATCCCATCTGCTCCACCTACAAAGTATGGGTGGAATAGGCTCCTCTCTTATCTTGCTTGCTCAATGACTCCCACAAGTACTACTCTTTGAATACGTTGGGATCTTTAATTTTTTTTCTTATTTGCCTACTGATTAGATCTCTTTGGTCATCATTTACCTCCTGATTCCATTTTACCAGCAATTGTACAACTCAACTCCCTGTACCTTTCTCTGGCAGAATACCACTTTTGGATGAACCCAAGTGCTTGCTTTCTCCATGGAAACCACACACAATTGTACCACAATAAATTTTACAGTCTCCAACCTCAATAGGATCTCTCGTATTGCTCATAAATCTCCCTCCATTTCTTCTGGCCTTAGAATTTGCACCAATATTACTCTACTCCTCGTTATATACACTCCATCTTCTCACACATCTGCCCCTTTCCTTGTTCACCATGTTCATTCTCAACTCTACAACGTAACAGCTTCCTTCCAACCCCCTCAACTGCTTCATACATTAGTTATTAACTGCTTACAACCTCCTCCTTCTCTGGAGTATTTTCCCTGGTCTGTCCAGGCTGAAGCAGTTATTAAACCTTGTCTCAAATTGGGACAACTTTGAGATATTATTCATGCTTCAGAGCTTCCCAGGAGAGCAGACTGAGGTCAACTCCAGCTGAGGCCACATCTTGCTTGGCATTTTCCCCTTTACTCTGCATACTCACGTTTCTCCTGAGAACACTTATTCAAATAAGTCACTTGCATCACAAGCCTAGTCTTGGGCTCTGCTTAGATGAACCTAAAACATAGCTTTTGCTTACATACCCACTTTCCCCTGGAGTGTAGTTACTTCTCTTCTGTAATCCTGTTCGTCTTTCAATCATACATTAAATCATCCCTCTTCCAAAATTCGTTCTCAGATTGCAATCTTCAAGGAAGTGTCATTTATTATATAGTGCTTTTATGATTGCTCATGGTCGTAGAAAAAGACTCAGTAGATCTAACAGCACTGAAATTCTGAATGCTTTGTGTGTCACAGACCTCTTTGGAAGTCTGTTGAAGCCTGTGTATTTCTTCTTAGGGAAGGCCTTTTAATGGTTACAAAGAAAGCCTATTATGTTGGTCTATAGTAATAAAAAAGCTACCATGTAATATAGTAGTATGTGTGCTGTTTTATTAATACATTAAATAGCATGATCTACCATTGGGTCAAATACTGTCAAAGTAGGGATGAGAGTAAATTATATTTTAAGATATTGTCACAACTGAAATGGGTATGAAAATATAATTTCTATCAGTTATAAATTCAAGGGCATTACAGATAGCACTATGATCTGAGACCTACATTCAAAATGAGAGGAAATGCTAAATTTCACTTAAGAGGTTGCTGAAAATTAGGATATGATTTTTGGATTTTCACCATTTAGATTCACTCAAGGACAAAGGACAAATGGAGCTTTATGGACTCCAGGTCAGGACTCCTGTATTAGAGGACTTGTAGTTCTAGGAAACTGACACTTAATTTACTCAGTCTCACACTGAACTCATATATGGCCAGATTATTATGGCCTCTGGTGCTAAGTGGGGGACATTTCATAACAGAAAGGAAAAAGATGGTATCACCTCCCTTCCCTGACTCAAGAGATTGGTTAAGGAACTTTTTCAAAGGTCCTGACTGGATTTCCCCATTACTAGGCAGTACTGGTGAAAGATGCCTTTGTGGGGATTCAAGGCCTGAAGAACTTACTGCACTCACAATGGCCTTTTAGTCATCTCCTTGACCTAGGTCAATTGGTAATCTCCATCCATCCTCTTTACCCTGGTGACAGACAGTGTTATATCAGCAAATATTTTTTGAGTGTAAAGTTGGGTTCAGATCATGCAGAATTTAGAGATGGAAATGAGGTCACAGTTATCCTTAAGAAAATGAATTAGATTATTAGCAGAGATTGGATAAAAATGATATATTTTCTTTTCCACATTAAATGCTCTGAAGTAAATGAAAATGTAGTTTTATTTTCAAAAGAGTAAATCTTCCACTTTATATTCATCAGGGATTGGATAAAAATGGAACATCTCTCTTCTCTCCTACTCTTAATGTCCTGAAGTAAATAAAAATGTTTTATTTGTAAAAAGGTAAATTTTCCACTTTTTTTTTTTTTCATCACACATTGATTTGGAGAAGAGAAATGGTGGTAAACAGCAAGACCAATGTGAAAGTTGGGAATCTACAGAGACAATGTGGTGGTGTTCTCTTGCTTATTTTATGGGATATATGAGTGGAGGTAGAGGAGTATGTTATATTAATACATTATATTAACTCTAATAATAATCAACCTTATATTTACATAGTGCTTTTCATTGGACCCAAACTTTTACACATTACCTACTATCATCTTCTCATTTTACTACTACAGAGAATATCCCTCCTCATGGAATTCAGATAAGGTCAAATAAAACTTGTGCAAGGTTCCTTATTAGGACCACTGCATCCTCTCCCTTGCACTGGGGAACACCCCGCTATCTGCTTGGTTGGATGAGGTACTTATCACCCAGAGAACCTCTCTAGTGGTTCTTAAACTTCACTGTATATCATCTGGGTAAGCTGTTAAATATGGGGGTGTAGTTCCATAATAAGAGTATGTTCTTAGCCTATCTGAGGCCCTGGGGTTCCAACCCTGAGATTTGGATTCAGCAAGTCTGAGGTAGAACTCATAAGTCTTCATTTTAAATCAATACTCCTGGTCCACTTGGACAGGTGATTCAAATCCATGCTTCCAGGATACTGGGTTAGGCATATCTTCTGATGCACTTTGTTTTTAGGCATAGCCACTTGAAAATAACACATGACTGGTGTCTCAAAAATCATACTGAAATTCCCCTTTCGTCTCACATGTGTCAACTAATTTCTGGCACCAAATATGGGCCTGCTTTGGGGAGTGCAAGTACTAGAACACAGTATTAGGGAAACAACTGCCCAAGGCAAAAGAAAAAGACTCTATAGGGAAAAACAAAGAGGAAAACTAATAACAAGGCAACTGGTGATATGGCCCACACATGTTGAAGTATAACATTAGAGAAACACCCCGAAGCAAGCATATAAAGCAGGGACTACTTAAAAAGGGGTAACATAGACTTCTCCCCAGAGGGAGATGGGGGCCGTAGCTGGTATCCTGGTATCGCAAGAAGCCAGGGTTTTTTGCCTTTTTATATGTCCTAGTCTTCCTTTGTTCTCCTGCTCTTTTCCCTTATCTTTTTTCTTCCTGCATACTGACTAGGCCCAGGAGATGCTCAGAGTTGCTCAGTGGATGGCCAAAAGGTGAGAAGCAGATGAGAAACTGATGTGACTCCATTTTTGAGAAACCAGCCTCTACCTCGGAGCAAAGCCTGTCCAAGGAAGGGAGCGTGTCCTTGGAAAACCCCACAGAGCACTCCCAAGCCCATACCCACCCTGCTGAGTTGTTTATCTGCAAATAACAGGAGAGATCTGCTGCGCCAGGTGTCCCTGACTCAGTTAGGCTAGGTGAGGACCCATAGCAACCCCCTAGCAACCACCAATCAGCGTGAGACGGAAAATACCTGGATGCCAGATAACCTCCTAGTAGTTTATGGTGGTTGATATCATGTTGGGAAACCATGTAGTTTAGCACGTACACCCCTCATGGCTTAAACCAATCCATTCAAAGGAATCCCACTCTTGTACTAAACAATCACCCCTACCCAACTTGTTCCCGCCAGTGAATGTGCTAATCAATGTTAAAGAGTTGTTGTTTGATTTTCCCACAGTATGGAATGATTTGCTGTGTGTTGTTGTGACGCATAGAGTATCCCCCCCGAAACCCAAAATCTCACTGAACAAAGGATCAGGACTCACTCCCTGGGACCGCTGTGTCGGAATGGTTGTGAGTCCAGGCTCCAGCTTGTAATAAAGACTCTTGTGTGATTGCATCGGATTCGGCTCCTGGAGGTCTACTGGGGTCCCACGAATCTGGCATTACACCGATAAGACGGGGGAAGGCCTGGATGGAGCAGCCCAAGACACATTAATTAATAACTTTTACAACTCCCTGTAGGGAGGGGCAATTACTGAGACAGGTTACCTTAGCAACAGGTTGGAGCAGGGGCAGGTTCTTGATAAGGGTGGAGGAAGAGCTCTGAAGGAATTAACATTCCAATCCCTCCAGTCTCTGGATTTGACCCTTGCCTAATTCTGGCTTCCCTGGCAGGTTATGAGATTTAAGGAGATACACATCCTCTCCCACGTGCTGTGTGGCAGTCCCTTAGTGACGCTAGGGCCTGACATAAGTATTCAGTGAGTACTGGTTAAAAAAAATAATGAACATATATACACAAAAAAGATTATTTCCCAGCCTCATTAAACGCAGGTACTCATCCGACAAGCACGGAGTCGCACATTCTCCTTTAAGGTTATTTGGAAATTTTGACACAAATTAAATATGGCGACTGGAAATAAAGCAATTGGCAAAATGCTTGGGTGTCCCGTGACCCTCCTCACGAAAGGGAAGGTGGGCAGGTGGCGCAGGTTCCCGGGAGACCGAGAACCACCAAGCTCGCCTGAGCACGCCGGAAGTCAGGGCCAGGGCCGCGCCGGCTTCCTGCGTCACGTCCTGCGCGCCTTCCGGCAGCCAACATGGCGGCGCTGAGCTGTGTCCGCTGGCTGACCCGAGTGAGCCCGAGGGCAGGGCGGGCCGGCTTGGGTGGGGGGTCGGGGGGGGGTTCGCCCCAGGGTTTTCTGGAGAAGGCAAGGTCGTCGCAGTGTTTGGGGTCTGGGGGTCCCAGATCTGCCCTCTTAGGCTTGTATGTCTGTTGTAGGCAGTGGTTTCCGCCCGAAACCCTGGGACATGGCGAGGTCTGAGTACCTCCTCTACTGCTCATGCCGCTTCGCCCAGCCAGGTATGCGCGAGTTCCGCTCCGGTCTCGCCCACACCTCTCTCTATCCCCTGCTTGCAGCTCCCCAGGCTTTTCCCCCCACCCGCGTCCTCCCTTGCCCCCCGCGTTCTCCCCTTCTCTCCCCACCTCAGCTCTGACTCTGCTGGCTGCATTGACAGGCCGAAGATGTGAGGGTGGAGGGAGCTTTTCCAGTGACCATGCTGCCAGGAGACGGCGTGGGACCTGAGCTCATGCACGCTGTCAAGGAGGTGTTCAAGGTGAGTGTCCTTGAACATGACTGACTGCAACATGAGGTTGCAGAGAAGATGCGGGGTGTTAAAAAGAACTTGATCGACTTTCACCTTGCACTTTTTTGGGGACCTGTCCCTGAAGGCTGCCGCTGTTCCCGTGGAGTTCCAGGAGCATCACCTGAGTGAGGTGCAGAATATGGCCTCTGAGGAGAAGCTGGATCAGGTGCTGAGTTCCATGAAGGAGAACAAGGTGGCTATCATTGGTACGTGTGCCCCCTTTCCAGCCTGCCCATGTGTCATTTAAAGTCAAAAGAGCAGTGTTCATTAAGTCCCTGACCCCATTCCCAGAGCTCCCACCACTGATACTTCGATTTTGTTCCTTCCCATTGGGAACCCAGGAGCCATGTAAATTGTCTCTGTAGGAAGTCATCAAGGGTTTGGTGTCCATCCTGAGACTACATCATCTATCAAGTCTTATTTGTTGTGGTTCTAGAATGCCACTTCTAATGGCTCTTTTTCTTCTGTCTAACCTTCCTCTGCTCTATTTTATTCTCTTCATTAGATTTTTCGGCCCTCAGTTCTTCCCCTTTCTTTTGTAACAGGTGTAACAGGTTTAGAAACAATGCTATGGTATTTCCTTCTTTCTTTTTAACATCATTTTCCTTGGAAAGACCAGCCTGACTTTTTCAAGCCCAACCTCTTAGCATAGGAAAGTAAGTTCTTTATATTGCTGGTCCTCAGCTTTTATACCTTGGTTTCCACACTGCTTGTTTTGTGCCTTTTGACTGCCCTAAACTCTGTTAGTTTCTGAATATATGTGTTGCCCTGATGAATTTCGTTCCCTGTGCCCAGAATGTTCTTCCTTTGATTCCACTTGTCATAATCCTCGCTTACTCATGGCTTTAGTTTCCTAAAATTACCATAAAAAACTACCACAAACTTGGTAACGAAAAATAACAGAAATTTACTCTCCATTCTACAAAGACTGAAATTAAGGTGATGGCACTCTGTTTGAAGGCTTAGGGGAGAATCCTTTATTGCTGCTTGTTGTTCCTTAGCTTAGGATGCAATTCTCCTGTCTCTATCTCTGGTTTCATAAGGCTTTCTTCCCTCTGTATCTCTGTGTCTTTATTCTTTCTTTGCTCTGTAAAGATTTATCTTTGGGTTTAGGGCTTACCTGAATCTAGAACAGTTTCATCTCAAGATTTTTATTACGTTTGCCAAGATCCTTTTCCCAAATCAGTTCACATTCACAGATTCTGGGAAATAGGGCATGGACATAGCATAGGGTATGGACAGTCTTCTTTAATGCATTGTGTGATCCTTGAAGGCAGGGGTCGTGTGGTTGTTTTTGTTTTTTTTTTAAATCGATACCTTTATTGCCTGACATATAGTTGATTTGCAGTAAATGATGACTGAGAAAATGTCAAATAAGTTGACATAGAATCATAAAGGAAGAATACCATAGCATTGTTTCTAAACCTGTTACACCCAGGCTCGTTGAGGAAAAAAAAAATCTGTTCTCCTTTTAAGTCATTTTGTGGTTTCAACATAAGTATGGTGACTAAAAATAAAGTACTGGACTAAATTTTTCTTATTTTAACTGTATTATTATTTGCTTCTTGCCTCCACAGGCAATTAAGGTCATGGATTTGGGAGTAGGAGTGGAAGTTGAGGGTCTGGGTTGCATTATGTCCCTAGGGGGATTGGACACTGGTCTCTGCTCGCTTGGACTTACCCTTTGACTAACATTCTTCCTCCACTTTGTTTGTACAGGAAAGATCCATACCCCAATGGAGTATAAGGGGGAACTAGCTTCCTATGATATGAGACTGAGGTAGGTGGGTGGAAGGTCATGGGTCGGAGGGGTACTAGGTACCAAGCACAGGGCTGATGGCTATGTCTGCCCTTAGGCGTAAGTTGGACTTGTTTGCCAATGTAGTCCATGTGAAGTCACTTCCTGGGTACAAGACCCGGCACAACAATCTAGACCTGGTGATCATTCGTGAGCAGACAGAAGGAGAGTATAGCTCTCTGGAACATGAGGTGAGGCCCCAGGAACTGGGGAGGGCCAGAATGGATGTAGGAGAGAGGTAGATCTCCTCTTCATCCTTTTTTCCCATGTTACCCAGCTGCTTCTCTCTTCTCATTCAGAGTGCGAGAGGTGTGATTGAATGCTTGAAGATTGTCACTCGAACCAAGTCTCAGCGGATTGCAAAGTTTGCCTTTGACTATGCCACCAAGAAGGGGCGGGGCAAGGTCACAGCTGTCCACAAGGCTAACATCATGTGAGGGGCATATCTTTTCATGGGATAAGTTCCTGGGAGGTAGTATGATTCTTGGCTGATTCTGTTCACTTTGACCCATGAGCAGGAAACTTGGGGATGGATTGTTCCTGCAGTGCTGTGAAGAAGTCGCTGAATTGTACCCCAAAATCAAGTTTGAGACAATGATCATAGACAATTGCTGCATGCAGGTAAGTCCTTCTCCCCATGTCTCTACTCTCATGATGCTGAGAAAGGGCAGGGAGTAGAATTCACTTCTCTTCTTCATGCCCACATCTCCCTTCGTAGCTGGTGCAGAATCCCTACCAGTTTGATGTGCTTGTGATGCCCAATCTCTATGGCAACATTATTGACAATCTGGCTGCTGGCCTGGTTGGGGGAGCTGGTGTGGTCCCTGGTGAGAGCTACAGTGCAGAGTATGCAGTTTTTGAGACGGTGAGTGAGGTCACTTTCTCCTTCCGTCATTTATACCTGTCCTTTCTCCTACTTCAGGTCTCTTCTCATTTCTACCCATGCAATGATTCCCACTTCTCAGTGACTGTGGCCTGCCTTCCCTCTTTCCCATCATACTCTTTCTCAGCCTCGGCATATGCCTGCTTCCTCCCAGTAACTCTAGCCTGCCCCTCTCTCCATAGGGTGCCCGGCACCCATTTGCTCAGGCAGTGGGCAGGAATATAGCCAACCCCACAGCCATGCTGCTGTCAGCTTCCAACATGTTACGGCATCTCAAGTAGGTCACGGAGGCAGCGGGTGGAGGCTGGTTGTTGTAAGGGGAGCATAGGTGGGAAAACAGGTGACAGTGTTGTGGGCAATCTTAAGTTTCTTCTTGTCTACATTGACAGCCTTGAGTATCACTCCAGCATGATTGCAGATGCAGTGAAGAAGGTGATCAAAGTTGGCAAGGTGAGTTTAGAAAGGTGCTGGTTCAAAGTTTTGTTACTGCTCTCTGGGGAACCTGCAAGGAGTCTCCTTTCTCTCCAGGTCCCCAGAACATCTTTTGCTCTGTGACCTCTTCAGGGCTGTTCTTACCCTCATTCTCTTGGCTGTTTCATCCTTTTGGTCTTTTCTGCCTCTTTTAGTTCCCATCTGCTGTTCCCTCTTTGCTGCTCCATCCATTGCCCTTTTCATGGTCATCTGAATGCAGAACTTGCAGTTCTCTCTCTGGGGGTGGAGCAATGGAGGGAGAGGCAGTCAGGATGAGGCACCAGCTTCATCTTGTCCATGCCTGGGAGCCCAATCTTATTTCTTCCAAGGTAACCTCATCCTGATATGCACTTCCCCATCTCACTTCCTGCTCAGCCTTCCATCCTACCTTGCAGCAGTTTTCCTAGTGGCTCAGAAGAGTGGGCAATTTGCTCCTCACCTGGCTACCTCCTTTCATCCCTGCTGCATTGCATCTTCTTTTTGGCCATCTGTTTTCTTGGGTTCCATCTCCTTGACTATGCTGCCCTTATCCCCCTTCATGGGCTCTCTTCTCTTCTTCCCCACGGCTATTGCTGATGGTGGCTGTAGGTGCGGACTCGAGACATGGGCGGCTACAGCACCACAACCGACTTCATCAAGTCTGTCATCGGCCACCTGCATCCCCATGGGGGCTAGAGCTCTTTATTCCCTCCAACCTCACAAGGACCATACTACCTACACATCCCTTCAGTACAGTGGACCAGGGAAGAGACCTTGAACCTCTAGACAGTGGACCATAATTGATTTCTGGGCAGAGCCTAGGTTGTCCTGGGGCTGGCTTCTTTAGGGAACTTATACTGGGCGGTGGGGGTTTTAAGGGGTGGGACCTAGGTCACAGGATGATGACACTTCTCCCCCACAGGTTCGAACCTCTGACATGGGTGGCTATGCCACTTGCCACGACTTCACTGAGGCTGTCATTGCTGCCCTGCCCCACCCATAGGTCCTGCCCATATTCATGTAAGGTGTTTACCAATAAAACATGCATATCAGCTTTTGTGAATTTGTTTTTATTGGGGTTTGGGACATGGGGTGGGAAGTCACCTTGGGGTATGCCCCTGCCCGCCAAGGAATGTCCGTTTTAATCTTGTGATGCTTTGTGTAATTTTTTCTTTTTCTTGGTGCTGGTTTTGCTGCTAGCAGCCTCTTCAGGGCCACTGCTGACTGGCTCCTCCTTGGAAAAGAATCTCCTCTTTTTCTTGGAGACACTCCTGCTCACCTCCTCAGGCTCGCTAGCTGTTTCTTCCTTGGGTGAAGACTTCTTCCTCTTTGGAAGACTTGTGCTGCCACCAGCTGTCTCTTCAAGATCACTACTAACCAATTCCTCCTTGGAAAAAGATCTCTTTTTCTTGGGTTTGGTGTAAGAGACAGATGGCTCCTCCATTCCATTCTCCTGAGGAACCTCCTGGGGCTTTTGTTTTTTCTTCTTTTTGGGTTTTTCATTCATCTCCTAAAGGGGAAAACGGGCAAACAGGCATAAGGACAGTGTTATCTATGGTATGTGCACTCCCCCCCCCAAATTAAGATGCAGCAGAAAACCAACTGCCCAGTGCTTTTGGGATGGTTGTTTAATGGTGTGGGTCTAACTTTGGACATCTACTCTCAGAAGTCAGAACTGGAAGGCTCATAAAAAATTTTCTAAATAAATTTGTATAAGTAACCTACAGGAAACCATGCTGGTTACACTAGAGTGATCATGTAAGTTCCAGAGAAGAGACTGAAATGGTCACAAAAGGCACTAAAACGAAAACAGGAAATGATTCTAACCTGGTGCATTGAAGAGCTAGCTCCTTTGTCCCCACCCCCACTGTGAACACAAACTTCTGGACACACATCTGAGAACAAGAGCAGGCATTGATACTACCCCCGGTTGAGGACTCCTGGGAGGCTGCGGAGGACAGAGCACACTTGCCCAGGAAACAGGTGTGTGCTACAGCCAGCTCTGGGCTCTTGAGCAAGTTCTCTCAGCACCTATCTCCTTCCTACAGAATCAAGAGGTAGTTAAGAATTTTGATAGTTAAAGAGATTTGGTCCAAAAGCCTGGACACCAGACCATGGCTTGACATGGCACATCCTTTGTTCTGCTGGGAGAATCCAACCTAAAAACTTCTCTGAGAGTGGATCTGGTGACTGACCTCACACTCCTCTGGAGTGCTACTGCTATTTCCTGAAGATGCCAGGGCAAGTGCAGCCAATCGCTTTTTTTCCTTCTTCAAGCGCTTCTTCTCCTGTTTCTCCAGTTTCCTGGCAATCTCAGCAGCCGCTTCCTCTGCCTGGCAAAAAAGAAGTTCTGAGAAGGCCTGAAGATCTTGGTTTACCATAGTCACCTCTGTCCTTATTGGATCAGGCTCATTAAATCAGTTTTTGTTTTTGCCTCCACTTCACAAGGTCAGGCTAAGCAAGATGGTTCATCATCTCCAACAGCTACTTAAGAGTTCTCTACCACCCTACAAAACCCAAACTGACCTGAACCATTGCTTCCTTCATGACATCCAGATTCTTCCGTGGAATCTCTCCAGTCTCATAGAAGGACAGGCGCTCCTCAACTTGTTCTCGAAGCTTCTCCCCAAATACACTTGTAGGAACCTCTGGATGTGTGTGTGTAAGTAAACAAAGCCTGTCAGCCCTCAAAGGGACAAACTACCCCCCACCCCCCGCGTTCCCAGTATTCCCTCTACCCTCAGCTTTACTCAGACCCAGAGTTATCAACACTCACTAGGTGAACTGCTGTTGACGAAAAATATTAACCATCATTGTAGAAGCTGCTAGGGTAGTTTGCCTCCCTGGCTCCCAGCCCCTCACCCATAAGTGCCAACCTCCTCACCCATACCAGAGAAGCAATCGATTCGTGAGGCAATACTGCATTTGTTTGCCAGGTATCGGGAGATGCGGCCTTTGTTCTTGGCAGCTGCTCGGCCAATGAAGGTAGAATGGAAAATGAGTCCATATTTTGGTGTGTTACCCCTTGTCTTCAGGGCTCTGAGAATATTCAGCGGAGAGTTTAAGATCAGAAATTTCAACCCCATTAGCAGCTCCTCCCATCCCCTCCCCTCCAAGTCTCCAGAGTGTGCTTCAGGCTGGGCTAGACCCCAACACAAGCTAACCCATAGCTCCCAGAGGCAGAGGTAAGGCAAACAATGTCGCTGACCTGGAAACTTGGTCCCTTTGCTGGGCCCTAGGAATCACTCAGACACCAGGACTGGCCATCACCCCCATAGCAGAGGCCTGTATAGGTCAGGGAGCCCCGGTCAGCCATCACTGTGATCCCCAAACAAGTAGAGGGTACCAGAAGTGGCACCTGATATGGGCAGGTGCCCTCACTGGTACCTGAATAGGGCCTTTTCAGCCCCAAGGATCTGCACTGTGGATGCTGGATACTTGGCCAGGTTGGTGAGGCTGCCAGCATGAGCAATGAGACGTGCACCTACCTAGAAAAAGATTCAAGGAAGAATTCAGAAGTGGGGATTGCTGACTTGTCATTCAAATAACCCCTGCTTTCTACCCCCCATCAGGCACAACTGGGGAATATATATGGTGGGTCAGTCAAGAAGTATAGCAGTGCAGAATGGTAACAACCCTAATCCCCCACTTTTGTATTCCCCATGACGCACCGCTTCCCCAATTAGGGCTGACAGGCTGGGGGCTACTTGGCTCATCTTGGAGCGCAGGTAAGTGTGTAGGCTCTGGCGGTACTCTGACAAAGACACCACACGACTGGAGAAGCTCTCGATGTTTATCAAGTCGATGGCAGATATGTCCATGCCTAGGAAACACCTAGTGTGAACAGAGGGGTCAGACATTCAGTCCCATACCTTATGCTAGCTGCCGGGCTCTGCACTGACCCATGGAGGACCGTGAGGCATCCAGAATAGCTTTAGCTTTGGCCCCATCCATTGTCAGCTCCTCCAGCTTCTCTAACTTTTCCTCACTCAGTTCTTTTCGGTTTCCAATGAATTGGGCAAGGCGGCAGTATGTGGCATTGTCATTGATGATCTTCACCAGTTCTGGAAAGTGATACCCGTACCATTCCCTGCAAAAAGGTATAATCACTTCCTGACCTAGCTGCCATGTCTATATAAAGCTGTGGCTTTAGCCCTCTGCCTGGAAGAAATGGAACAAGTCAGACTCAAATCCCTCCAGCAATTCCATGTTTCCCCATTCACAATGCAGACCAGGCACAGGGCTTGGGCTGAGGTGTACATGGGGTATGCTTACTCTGCCTCCCCTTTCTATACAGTCAGTGTAAGAACACAGCCTGTGGTAAGCATCAGGAGGCCCAGCTCCAGCCTACTCAGTTCTTCTATCCACAAGATTGTCAGCCCCAATTTGAGGGCTGATAGTTGCCTAAACTATAGGGCAAAGACTCCACTATCAAGGGTGGCCCCTTACCTGACACGCATAGAGAAAGTATTGATGTCTTTATCCAGTTGGTCCAAGAGGCTAATGGACTGGATGATCATGTTGTCCACCCGGTTCACATTAAACTTAACTTTGGCACGAGAATAGCTATGTCCCAGCCCTAATTGGGCTTTACAAGCTGACAGGTCAGTCAGACCCTTCACCAGATTATGGAAGTGCAGACGAACTCCTAAGAGGGGAGCAAGACTGTGAGCAAGCAGGAAGCTGCAACCTCAAGCAAGTTTTTAGACCCCTCTTAAAAATGTCAAAAAATGGCAGGAGAGCCTCACCTCGCAGGATCTCGGCTACCACACCTCCAGTCTGGCAGTTGTACCCTAACTCCTCCTGTATAGCAGCACCAATCTTGGGATCCCCAACCCCCAAAAGCACTTTCTTCTTTTTGGATGGCAGGTGGGTCTCCAGGAGCAGGCGGAGGTCCTCATGAACAATGCCTCAAGGCAAAAAAAAAATAGTTCCCACTAAGATGGTGAAGGATGTTTGAATTGTAAAAGCTCAGCTGATCATGCTGGTCCCCTGGAAGCATGCTGGGATGACATGCCTAGACCCCTCCCACTCAGGCATTGCTCAGAGACATTGAGACATCAATGATCACACTCAGGGGATTGACAGATTTACAAGTCATCACTGCAAAGCCTGGATCAACCATGGGAGGAACTGGACTCAGGTCCAAAAGCATATGTGTAAAATCATAACTGAAAAATACATATTACTACCTTATTAGCCTTCAGGGACCAAATCCCGTTTGCTTACCTACATTTACCAAAATTTCCCTTTCTAGTCAATTGAAAGTTAGAGACCCAGACTAGTGTTTAAACTTAAGCATAGCCCTCCCACCCCCAATTTTTAGGAATCATTTTTCTCTACAGTGCCCACAAGTTCATAAAACCTACATCCTGGATTATGTGCTTTAAATTACATCCTTCAGGTCACAAATACTGTCTAGCACAAACAAACCAAATGTAGAAAAGCAAATACTATAAACCCTCCAATAGAGTATCAGCAGGAACCACATCTCACTATCTCCTTGAAAGATTTGGCTGCGGCCAACTCACCTTCAGACACCGCATTGGCATTTTCCAAGGCAACCTGGGATGAGGAAAAGGGATTGAAGGCCACAAGACGGACAATGTTGTGGAACTTGCCCAGGCTGAGCACACATTCCTCCACCTGTGGGGACAAAAGAGGATGTATGGTTTCCTTCCTTCATTCTAGCCTCTGCGGTGTAGCAGAATAGCAATTATCAGCCCTAGACATTATTAAAATATGCCAAAGCCTCACCCCCACATCTCGGGTTCAGCTTTAATCCATTCGAGGCGGAATCTGGGGGCTTATTTCTAAGCGCTTCTTACGCGATTCTAACCGTGAGTCAGGGTAAAGACCCCCTGCTCCAGAGCTTGCTTTCCCTGTCTAGCCCTCCCTAACCCGCGCGGCCGGCCACGTGGGAGCGCGCGGTGCATGCTGGGGTTCCAAGGCCCCAGGGGCTGCAGTGCAGCCGGGCTAGCCCACCCATCTCACCCACCTGCGGCAGTAACAGGCTGATCTCCTCCACTTCCTTCAGCGCCAGCAGCGCGTAGCCTACCGCGTGCTCGAACAGCACGTGTAGCAAAACCTGGAACGAGAGTCGGGGCGCAAAAGTCAGCCAGGCCCACGAGTCCCGACCCCGCTCCCAGAGCAGGCCCTGGCTTAGGCCCTGGCTCAAACTCTAATCCAGACCTAAACCACGGCCTTCACATCACCCACAACCCACAACCACTCCTCACCATGGCGCTTGCTCCCTGCCCGGCTCGCAATGCGGCTAGCAGGCTCTAGCGCGCGGAACCAGGATCCAGAGGCCACGCCCTCTACTGATTAGCCAATCAAAGGCTAGGGAAGGCACCATTCTCGGACTTCAGAGGGGTCCGCTGGAGTGGTATGGCCGTGAGGGCGGGCGGAGGTGGTGCCGAACGCGAGCCAGCGGGACTTTTCTGGCCTCTGCGGCTGCGCGGGCGGGTGCGGTTGCCGGGGACGCGCGGAAGCCGTCTTGGCCTGCAGGCCCAAAACGGTTTGAAAAGGCGCTTTTCCTAGTAGTCGGATCCCTCCTGTTTTATTGTATAAGTGGAGGGCGAGAGAACTCTTTGAAGTCGGGGGGCGGGAGGCACCATCTGGGCCAAGGTGACCATTCCAGGCTGGAGCTTTGCAGAGCCGGCTTCCCGCCGCGCTGGTGACTTGGGACCCCAGACACTCTCCCACGCCCCGGCTGCAGGGGCCCTCCACCCCCACTCAGGGAACCCCGTGAATCCTGTGGTCCGCGCGCCTTCCCCTCTTGCCAGGGACCGGAGCCGCGCCTGGGGCGCTCTGACGCAGACCCTGCAGGAAACATGGCTTCTCGCGGCTTATTCATGCTTTTACATTTTATTTAGTATTATTCAATCAAAAAATGATGATGTCTGGCAATGCCGTAGAAAGGAAAGGCGATCCCATATCTTCCTAGGCCGATTTCTTGCCTTGCTTCACAGGACCAGCGTCTTTTGCGGGCCACGTGTTGCGCAGTCTGGAGCGGCCCTGAATTTGTGTCGCGTCCGGTAGCTCAGAGTGAATGGCAGCTGCTTTCTTGTCCTGTAGGGTGGCTTTTGGCACTCGGGTGACGATTTTAAAATTACTTTTGCTTTCAATAACTAATATTAAGATTATAAACGCAAAACCTGGTTATTCTTAAGTAGTATATACCCTGGTTTTTTAAAAAAACATTCTAAGGGGATTTTTAAGATAAGTTAAATTCTATAGATCACATTTACAACTTTAATGTATTTTTATTTTCTTCTTAAACGACTCAATGACTTGAAAAAAATCCAAGAACTTAGTTCCACTGATATGTTAAATCTAAAAGTATGATTGTAAATCTTAAAAACCTCATAATCTCAATATTACTTAGAGGTGTGGTTAAATTGTTATATACATGTCGATTTATAATCACTAGTCTGAATCAGTTACTGTATTTTCATTTTAAAAATGGAATTGCAAAATTTAACATATTACATACTTTAGTGTGTTTAGAGTCTCAAACACTGCAAATATTTAACATGCCAAATTAAATGGATAATTTCCGACTAATGGAAAATAATGCTATGACTTTGATTTACTTGTTTCTATAATTAATCCTAATCTTCCAGGGATTACAGGTACTTATCCACTAAGGAAAGAATTTTCAAGAAAACAGAATCCATGAATGGATTGAAGAATAAGGGTGTGGTGGCACTCTCCTGTAATCCTAGGCCAAGGCAGAAGGATCACAAGTTCTAGGCTAGCCTGGGTAATTTAGTGAGACCCTGTCTCAAAATGAAATTTTAAAAAAGGACTGGGAATGTAGTATAGCACTTCTGGGTTCAATCCCCAGTAACACACACACAAAAATAACAACACTAGATTGCAGAACTGATTTGTTCATTCATGGCCAGTAGTTTAAAAATCAGAATAAAGAGAATAAGAAGTAAGTGTATGTCAATAGAGTAAGGAGTATGTTATTGTGAGATTTCTGTTTCAGCTATAAATCTATATATCGCTGTATAGAGTGTATATACACTGTTATACACGTATAAATTCATATTTTCATGTTTATATATATATGTATATACTTGCATTTCTGTGTATTAACTCAGGATATAAAAATAACCTGATAATCATTCAGTGAGCCAAAAGATTACCTCAGTTATACTTTGGGCAGATTTGAGCCTGCTAGCTTCAAGGATGCTGCAACGAAGTAGTTTGCTGACTGAAGAAAAGTGTACTTTAAAAAGTGAGATACAAATGCTTGTGATTGAACAGAGGTATGGTGTAAATACTAAAATAAAGTATTTCTATGACTTCCTCTCCTCCATCTCTTCATTATGGTATCTCCTGCTGATACTTATAATCCTGACCCAGTGGGCACCTGCAGTGTGTGATGTAGGCTGTCCCTTCCATCCCCTTAGGCTGTTTGATAGGCTCACTACCACCACCAGAGTGGACTTTCACAAAACCTTTGATTTCCCTCATCCAAGCTATCTTCTTCTCTACTGCCAGAACACTCTTTCTAAGGCAGATTATCCATTTGTGTTCTATTTGTGAGTGCTCATAGTGGCATGAGGTAATGGACAAATTATGGGCCATAATATCCCAGGAACACCTGTGGTAGCTAGTCTCAAAAAATGGCTACCAATGATCCATGCCTCCGTGTATCAGGTCCTGTATCACTCTTTGAATTGGGCTGGGTCTCTAACTAACTTTAGCCAGTGGTATGTGGCAGGAATTATTCTTTGTCAATTGTAGGCTTTGTCCTGTTGGGAGCCTTGTAGTTTCCCCATAAGAAGTCTACCGACTTTGCTGGTGAGACAACCTGAGAGGCTCTGAGATTACATGCATGGAGAGGAAGAGAGGTCCAGTCTTTCAACTGCCCCTGCCAAGAAAGTAGACATTTTGTGTTCCAACCCCTGCCACCATCTGACTTCAGCCACCTGAGACTCCAACCAAGACCAGAAGAACAGATGAAATTTTTGATTTTCCATGATATATTGTAGCTTTAAGCACCACAATATAGGAGCAACTTGTTATGCAACAGTCTTTTTTTTTTTTTAAGAGAGAGCATTTTTCTAATATTTATTTATTTATTTTTAGTATTTGGCGGACACAACATCTTTGTATGTGGTGCTGAGGATCGAACCCGGGCCGCACGCATGCCAGGCGAGCGCGCTACCGCTTGAGCCACATCTCCAGCCCCTGCAACAGTCTTATGATTGAGAATAAGCAAACCTGGGTTCAAACCCCAGCTCTGCTCCTAAGCTTTCATTTCTTTTGCAGAATGAAGATTAAAGATTTATTCTTCCCTGTAACAACCCTTTACTGAACTTCTATTATAGGGCCACACGTGAAACAGGGAGTGGGAACTCAAAAATGCTATCATCTTGCTCTTTTGTCCCTTTCTCAATAAATAGCATGAGAGCATTTCTTATTACCTATTCTCAGTTGAGTCCCAGTTCTCTCATTGCCTCCCATAGAATCTATAACACTTCATTTTTCTATACACCCACCTACAGTGAGTTGTTTTGAAGTTGACATTTGTCAGATGAGGAATCAACATTCAACTCCTAGTATTTAAGAAGCTCCCAACTAGAGTCAATCAATCAGTCCTTCCAGCCATTCATTTTTAATGAATTTCTGTGTGTCTGCTGCATGTGAAGTGTCTTGCAATATGCTAGTAAGCACAACCAAGTTCCTGCCACTGTGGAGTTTACATTCTGGCAAAGACAGATCATCAAGTCAACGTGTAGCACATCTGGTGTTGTTAAGTGTTAAGAAATAGTGTGTTATTTTTTTAGAGACCGTGAGACTGTATGGAAATAAACCATGCAGAGGTCCAGGAGAATATCAACAACAATGGTCACCATAACCCATGGCCTCTGACTTCAGAGATTTTATGGTCATGGGAGACTATTATCTAGGGCTAAATTGCAGTGATAAGGAGGCTGACTGGAAAGCAGTTTGCCTTAGTATGCCTGAGGTAGAATTCAGGGCTAGAAGGGACTTAACTATTCATAGGACAATGTGTAGGTCAGTGAAAGCTGGAGGATGGAGAGAATGAAAGCAAAAGGCAGAAATAAAAATATGCTAAAGGTGAAAAATTTAACTTGATCAATAATTAGGACTAAAAGATCTAGAATCTAAAACTATAAGAAGCTTTGAATGAAAGCCAGTGATGAAATTTTTGATTTTCCACCAAGCAGTTCAATCAGAGATTAATTTGGAGGTGATTGATGTGCAAGGCAGATTGCCTGGTGAGTTCCTGCTAAGAAAATGTCCTGGCCTGGGCAGCAGTTCTGAGTAGGGGATGTGTGTTTCCCAGGTGTGCTTTAGTTCAAGTTTAAGGCCATGTGGCGCCTGGTGCTTTTTTTTTTTAATACTCTTCACCCACTGGGTAGGTTCATATACTATATCACCTGATCTTTTGCACTTAGCCCAGCCTTTAGCTGTGTTGATTAGATGTAAATTAGAGTTTTTACTTGGGGCAGCATCAATGGGGAACCTACAGAAAATAGAATATGCAATTTAAAATCCAGGCAATAATAGGGAGAGCTTTGGAAAAGGAAATTACATGGAAACATCACAAGATGGCGACACTTCACACTCATCTCTGAGTGAGAAAAATCTTCACATTGAATTTGAAAAGGCCTCTAGCAATTCCTGGGCTGTTTTCCCCAATAAGGAAAGAAGCCCCACAGCGTTCTTTGGTGATGAATTACATATATATGTAACATTCCTTTACATAGACACAGAAGAGTGAGAAGCATCTTGGGAAGGTCTTTGGCCCAGTGGTCCTACTCTTCTTTAGCATTGAGAAGCAGGCAGCTTCTGAAGCCCAGCGGTTGATTAGGATAACAGGGCAAATGATTTGTTCAGTATATTGTTTGTGAACCTGTGGATGTCTGATTTATCCATGCCAGTCATGATACCTGTTACATATTGAGCACTTAGCCTAGTGTGTGGCACATGCATTATTTTTACATGCATTATTTTGCATTATGAGAATTTGTATAGTTTTCATTGCTTTTTTCTTCTCTTTGAGGCCCTGTAAAACTAGGATCACTCTGAATTAAAGTTTCCATATGAATTTTTTGGAGTGTACAGATAATGTGGAATTTAGATCCTTGGTGTGAGAGGGCTATCTTGTCCATTTAACTTCTCAAGGGACATTTTTCTCTCCTACTTTCTGCCAAGGTCAAGAGAGAAAAATATCCTTTTTTTCATGGCAAATTTCTTTAAGTTTCTTGTAAAGCAGGAGTGTACATCATGCTTTGAAATTAACTTTTGTTGCTCTGTCACTGCAACTTATTTTAAAATTGATACGGTTCTCCCCCAACATTTGTTCCCTGCCTCACCTCTCCCTAACCAAGGGGAGAGCAAGATAAACTTTCTTCTCATCCTAGACTAAGTTGTCTTTTTTTTCCTTGTAGTTGTAGATGGGCAGCATGTCTTTATTGTATTTACCTTTATGTGGTGCTGAGGATCGTACCCAGTGCCTCACGTGGGCAAGGCAAGCTCTCTGCCAGTGATCTACAGCCCCAGCCTGGCTAAGCTGTCTTTGAGCAAACACACCATAGGAATGAAGTAATTAGGCTTCAGGGATGGTGTCAGAAGACCTAAGAAACTGCTATCTTTCAAGGTTGCAAATGAATTATGACTCCTGACAGGGCACACCTAGAAGATATCCTTTGAATCACCTCGTTTAAAACCCTGTTCCCCCTGACAGGCAGAATCACAGACTCTGGGACAGGAGCACCCTTATTTATCTTGCCAGCAAAGCAAAAAAACCTTTTCCTTTTTTTCAAAACTGTGTCCTTATTGGGTAACATGAGGAATTTGGTGCCTCAGCTTTGGGCAGGACTTGATAAATACTTCAGAGTGTGCCTGAAGTGCCTTTACAGTTGAGAGTCTTCAACATAGTGGGTGCTGTTGGTACCCTGTCCCAATCCCTTTACTGGCTGGTGCATTAGCCCCCAGTTTCTGTTAGTGTATAAGTCAAAGGGAGAATAATTATTTCCTTGTATCTTCACCACAGATGTGTTCCTGCTTACATGATTCTATGTAGAATGGAGGTCATCATAGAAATTAAGGGTCCTGGGCACCACTATTAACTAATCTGGTGGATTTCTCTCAAACAAGCTTTAGAGTGTTCTTAACAGAGGTATTGCTAGTATTTGAAACACTATCTTTGGGGCTGGGGTTGTAGCTCACTGGTAGAGTGCTTACCTAGCATGTGTGAAGCACTGCGTTAGATCCTCAGCACCACATAAAAATAAATAAATAAAATGAATGTATTATGTCCGTCTACAACTAAAAAATAAAAAATAAACACTTATGTCAAAATATGTTCACAAATTTTTTGAGAACTCTCCTTTCAAGAAATAAAGCCTCTTCCCTTGAGTGTGAGCTTAGACTTAGTTCTAATGAACAGAAAGTAGTGGATTTCTGAGACTAGGTCATAAAAGGTACTGTGGCTTCCTCCTTGTTCTCCCTCTTGGGTCACTTGCTCTGGAGGAAACCAGCTGCCATATTGTCTGTACACTCAAGCAGCTGTGAAAATGTATTAAACAAAGTGGAGTCACTCCTGTCATACTTTGCTGAAATGGAGTAGAAGGGCCATGGGAAAGGAAGGGAAACACTCAAGTCATCAATGACTGCTTCAGGAACTTTCACAAGATCACTACATTGAAACAGCCTGTTCTATCTTTAAGACTATTTTTACTTAGCAATTGATTGATGGTGGAACTGCCAACTAGACCTTAAGAGCAGTTTTACGTAGTAACTTAATGCTGCTTGCCAATCAAACCTTGCCACCTCCTGTGAAAACCAAATGTGCTAATGAACTTTCTTTCAAAATAAATTGCATAGACTTTCTGTCCTAACAAAACAACCAAACCTTCCTTTGTTTTCCAGGTCATTCTGGCCGTACACCTTGTGTCCCAGATTGCATTCTTATTCATTGTTCCCAAATAAAATTCCCTTTGTTGGAGATTTGCCTGCATATTTTTTATTTGACTGACACAGCCCTATGGAAAGGTCCACCAGGAGAATAATCAAGATCTGTCAATAGGCAGTAAGAAACTGAAGCCTCTCACCAATAGCCATGTATGTGAGACATTTTGGGAGCCTAATTTTCAGTTAAACCTTCCAATGATTGTAACCAGGCTGAGAATTTGCCTGTAATATCCCAAATCAGAACTGCAAAACTATGCAACTCCCAAGTTATTGACCCATAGAAACTATACAACAATAACAAATATTTTTATTATTTGATGCTGCCAAGTTTCAGAATAATTTGTTGTACCACAATAGATAACAAATACACCTCCTCCCATAAATTGTGCTTCATCAGACAGATGATTTGTTTGTTGGTTGTGTGTGTTTGAGTGTATCGGTAGCCATTGGCGGTCGAACAATAATCACTAAGAGGCTGATGGTTCAAGAAGGTACACCTCTCATTCCCTTCCCCAGGGGCTGGCTTTATCCCCAAACAGGATAACGGGGGTGGGGTTAGTGTGATGGCTATCTGTGGGCTGACCAGTGTTGACTACTTGGGCTAGACTGCCTGGATTCCTGTGTGAGGTCTCAAGAAGATAAGCTCATGGCCAGGATGTTTTTTTCCTCAAAAGAAAGCACATGACACAGGCAGTTGGGGGCTGGCTGTGGTTTCCATGGAAATGAGGCATCACAATACTTCCTTTGCCTGGAGATGGGCAGAGGTGTAATAATTTATTGTGTTTCTCTTGGTCACTTGGTCCCATTTCCACTCCATCACAGGTTGTGTATGAAGTTTGGGCTCTAAATTGGGAAAGGAAAAGAATCGGGAGGGAAATTGGAGATTATTTTAATTGTTTAGCTTATGAAATCTCTCTAAGATCCCCTTTTTACCAAGACTTTGCCTGATATCTAGGGTGTAGGGGATTACTCTGAAAGCCCTAGAGGTCCTGTTTGGGTTGTGGCTATAACAGTGGGGTTGGCTGACTGAGGGAGATGACTCCCTTTAGAGTACTTGGAGAGACAGGGTGAAATGTCCCCTTGGTCCTGAAGCCACACTGCTCACAGAGTAAAGGAAAGGGAAAGACCTGTCTGTAAGATACCCAGGGCTGTTGGAGAGTCCTCGCCTGTGACTTCTACCCTACTAAGCCTTTGCCTCTGTTGGCAAAGCCCTCTTATTGGTCTAAACTCTCTGACTTATGCCTACTAGGACACATTATGCACAGAACCACGATACGACATGAAGCAGACATATCCCCAGAAACAAGGCTCTGCATTGTACCCTTTGTAAAACTCTTCAAAGAAGCCATCTCCAAGATTCCTTATATAGTAAGCAGGTTTTCAAATTCCTTTTAGAATTTGGTGTATGAAGAAGACTTTTCTGTCTTAAGCAATCTTTACATTTCTTTCAATTAGATCAGAAGGACTGTGTTACTTACTCCCTTGCTCCTTTGCCTTGCTGATAAGAGGTTCCAATGCATTCTTTGGTGCTTAGTTGGCATCACCTTTCCCAGGCTATGTGCTGGGGTGTCACCAATCTCCCTGCTCATATCACTGGACTTTGGTTCATTTACCTTTATTTTCATTTGCTTCTCCATCCCTCAGAGAGAGGTGATGATCAGAAATGAAGGCCCCTTCGCATCCTCCTTTGTTTTAATGGATTTGAAGTAACCTAGGTCCCAACATTTGCACCATAGAAAAAGTCTATAAGGGAGGTCACTGCCTCACCCACTTTGTCCCCAAGCCTGGAGTCAAGGAAAATCGCTGGAGTATGAGGCCCAGGGCTGCTGTAACCAAGATATTGGAAAGGGAAGTTAGTGTAGGGAAGGCTCCTGCTCCCCTAAATGCAGAGGAAGCCATCGTCCTTCATTTTTGGTAGCCCACAAGGGTTTGAGACTAAGTAATCAAAGTTCCCGTGTTAAAAGAGAGGTGAGAAAAATGCATGTTTGTGTGAGAGGAGAGCCGAAGAGAGAAGCCAGCTTGGGTAGGTGTGAAAGGCGGGGCAGGGGATTCAAGAATCAGTCCCAGAAGCAGGCTCCCATGAGTCCCAGCTGTCAGTGGGGAGGCCTCTGAGCACTCTTTCCAGAGGTTGACCTCCAGGGATGAGTGTGAGACTGCGCTTGACCAGAATCTGGTCTGACTCCTGGGGGCCGAGATCCAGGGAGGTGTCGGGGGCCAGAGAGCAGGGTACTGCTGGTGGAACTGGAGGTCACAGGGTCCTGCGCCTTCTTGTCCAGGGTTTGGCTTTGGCTGGTAGAGTGAGGGTTGGGCTCTGGAAAATGAAGACAATGAGGATGTGTGAGGTCATGTACAGTTTGAATTGGAACTCTCAGGAGCCACCATGCAGCGATGGAGATTTTAGTCTCATTTGGTGAGGTGACAGCTGTCAGATTCTCCTGAGGGATCTGGGAGCACCTTGACTTGGTGTTCGCATAAACGGCCCCATTGGAGGACTATGGTTTACTGGCTAAGGAAATAGATTGTGAATTCTGGCCTTAGGCTAGACTCTCTTAACCTGGGTTTTTCTAGAATATTAAATTCTAGAGTATTAAATTATTACAATAGTAACAGCAGCCTCCCAGCGTGACTGTCAGGGTCTAATATGATGATGGAAAGGAAGAGACTGTGCAAACTATTTGGAATCAGATCCAGTTTCCAGTTCTTCACTTACTTGTTTTCCCCCTCTCTTCTAACAGGGAAAGCCTGCTCTTAGCCATACCCAGTTCCTCTTCTTCTGGGACACAGAAATGGATGTTTCCCTTGTAGATGGGTGTGCTTATGCCACAGTCATAGGGTTTGTTGTGTATCACTTCCTCTAGGTCCTCCACTTGTACTAACTTGATGCAGGCAGAGAACCTGGATGGAAGGAGTCAGGTCCCCCCATTTTTGCTTATGGCCATCAAGTGGAAATACCTAATTTGGACTCCAGTTGAGTAGGATATGAACTTTTATTGTGTTTGAGCCATTAGAAGTTAGGGCCTATTTGTTATAGCAGCTAGTATCATTCTAGCTAATTCTTAAAAAGAATAATAATAAATAAAAAAAAATGTAATTGCTGAGAAATTGGAATACTTGTAAAAAAAAAATTCTAACTCCTAAACTATCAGCCATTTCTTGTGCATCTCATTCAGTTCTTAAATTCAAGGCCCTCTGTATACTGCCAATGTTCAGAGACAAACCTTGGAAAATGGAATCAGAGATGGTCTTTTTCAACTTGACCTTTCTTATTCTGATGCTGGAGCTGGTCTGTGATCACTCCCCTTTAAAACCTTGACACACTTTTTGGGGGAACTTCTTTTTTTAATGTTTATTCTTTTTTTTTAATATTTATTTATTTATTTTTAAGTTTTCGGCAGGCACAACATCTTTGTTTGTATGTGGTGCTGAGGATCGAACCCGGGCCGCACGCATGCCAGGCAAGCGCGCTACCGCTTGAGCCACATCCCCAGCCCTTAATGTTTATTCTTAAGTTTTAGGTGGATACAATATCTTCATTTTACATTTATGTGGTGCTGAGGATCGAACCCAGTGCCTTGTGCATGCTAGGTGAACACTCTACCACTGAGCCACAACACCAGCCCCCAGGGAACCTCTTATGTAACCTTTTCTCATCCTTTTATTCTAGATATTCCAGTGCTGCTTTTTTTTTTCTTTAAGAGAATACAAACTACTATTACCAACTAGTATTCATGGATCTGTTCTATGTGCCAGGAATTCTGTGAAGCATTGTGTGTGCACGTTCCCTTTTCATCTTTACCATCCCATGAGGTAGGGGCTAAAACTCCTATATTGACTTGACCAACTACATGTAACTAATAACTGTCAGCGTTCTGATTTCAATCCCAGATCAGTCTGACTTTACCTCATAGACTCTTTATACTTCTCTATGTGGCCTTGTAAAAAGTCATTATCAGGGCTGGGGAAGTGGCTGAAGTTGTAGCACACTCGCCTAGCATGCATGAGGCACTGGGTTCGATCCTCAGCACCACATAAAAATAAAATAAAGATTTTGTGTCCACCTAAAACTAAAAAAATAAATATTTTTTTAAAAAGTCATCATCATAGAAAGAAATTTACCTTCCTTGGTGAACTGCAGCTGGGTGGCATTTTTGGAGTTGCTTTTAGGCATGTCCTCTGAATCTCTGGCTATGGCTCTGCCTTTGACCGATTTGTGGCTCTTCTCAACTTCACGGAGCTACAGGGAAAAGAAAAATGCACTGTTGGTAGTGTCTGGAGATGTGGGTGTATAAGGCTCAGAGTGTGGATGGTGAGAGCTAGAGAGAAGAGTGTTTTCAGTTCTTGCTGACTACCTTCAACCGCCTGTTATTAGTTCTGACAATTGGAAAGAAGAGCCTGAGACTCAGATTTGCAGTGTTCAAGGGAATACCTAATGCCTTCAGTCCTCTGTTTCAATGGTTTTCTGTACCTGGGCAGGAACCCAGTGAGGTTAACAAAAGTGTAGGTGGGGAAGCAGAAGTGGACAGATGAGATTAATTCAAGAAGAGGGGCAGAGGAAGCAAGGACAGGGCCTAGAGACGGTTGGCTCCGACCTTTAGTGTGTGTGAGAGCAGTCACTCTGTCATTGTCAGCTGGGATGTTGGGAAAGGTTGCTGTGTGTGAAAGGAACTCAGAACGCCCCTTAGACTAAGGGGCGCCACAATATGTTGTTTTGATATTATTTTTGTTAGTATTCATACAATTTTAGTTTTTGTTTTTGTTTGTTTGTGCTAGAGATTGAACCCAGAGCCTCATGAATACTAAGCATGGGCTCTCTCACTGAGCTACACCCTCATACTATTAGTTTTAACCTCTAGGAATTTTTGTGGTATGTACCAGCATTGGTTGAACCCATGGACTTTCTCCTGATCTTGAGCAACAGCAACCTCTCAAAAAAAAAAAAAAACCTGTCATTATTATTGCATAACCCTAAATTCCTCATAATATAAATACATGTTGTTGAATCTCACAAGGCTACTTTCTATAACACAGATATTTTTGGATTTAGTTTAGAAGAAAGTGATTGAGATAATACAATTGAGATCACAGAGCAAATTAACAAAAAACAAAATCGTGACATCTTTTACCCTCCAGAGTTAAATTCCCCAGACTCACCGCTTGAATTTTCTTCCTCAGCTGGGCATTAGCTCGGGAAAGGCTTTTGGAAACTGAGTTTAGGTAGTAGATAGCCAGGCTGCAAGAGAAAAGCATGTCTCCTGTGGGCTTGGGAATCTTGGAAAATGACAACCAGAGCTGGGTGCCTTGCTTGGAAAATAAGGTAGAGTTCCTGACGCAGGGTAGGGGGAGATCCTACCATCCTAAATTCTCAACACTGAGAAGGTCCTGGATATGCCTGCTGCTTCTCCATATTATTGAGCATGGGCATGACCTGCATATCTCTTGTTCTCAGAGTGCTCAATAAAGTTTAGCAAAGGAATATCCCCTCCCCAGGGAAACCTGAAGAGGCAGGGCAGGAGTGGCAGGATTTCTTGTCTGCAGAAGAAGTTGGTCATGTTTCCTGAATACCTACCCTGTGCCAGGTTTGATGCCATGTCTCTCCCCACCCTATCTCATTGGTTTTGATGAAAATTCTATAAGTGGAAAGGATGATTCTATGTTTATAGATCCATGCTCTGGGATTCCCAGAGATTAAATGATTTGCCCAATGTCACGCCACCTTTTAGTACTCCTTGAAGCCCACATTTGAAGCCAAAACTCTCTCTACAATCTTCATGTCCTGAGAGAAGAGATAGAGGAGCTAAGGGACCTGCTCCAAGTTTGCTTAGAAACACAACTGCAGATGTCCTGACAGTCCTCTCCTCAGAGTACTACCTGGGGTGGAGGTAGGACAAGCGCTGACTGTGGGTTTTGAGTCCATCCTTATTAGTCATTATCGCCCATGAATTTCAAGCCTCAGCTGCTCCATTTGGTCTTCTGAGTCTTTCCCTCAGGGTTAGATCACCCACAGCTGCCCTAATAGGGTTATCTCCGGCCAGAGAAGAGAACCACATTATCCCTGGAGCACAGTGTGTGTCTGTGTATGTAATATGAGCCCCTTGAAGCAAGAACTCAGAGGTCTGTGGGTGAGGGGGGAAGAGAAGGAAGGACAGATGAAGGGACTAATATTTGTTTTGTAAGCCATCTAGTCTGTGCCAGTCCTCGCCATCTCTTCTAATTAACTAAGTTATTAGGAACCAGAGGTCAGAGGGGTGACTTGTCTTGCTGAAGATTGCACACCTAGCAAATAATGGATAAAATGCTCAAGGGTGGCTGTGTTCCTTCTGAGGTTGTTTCCAGATCTAGCAATTCTATTTCCTGTCTGAAAGGGTCACATTGATGTCTGGATTTCATAATTTCCTTAGGAGGTCACAGAGAAGCTCAGGTCATCGCTGTCATGTCATTACCCTCATGTCAGGGTGTTTGAAATCAAGAATGTAAAATGACATGCACGTGTTCGCTGCTGGCAATGACAGTGTTCAGAGCACAGGGCAGACCTTCAAAAACTGGTAGTACATGAATAAATGAACAAATGAAAGGGTCCTGCATCTATGCTGGCCCCATCTACAGTGCTGGAGTCACTGTGGGTCTGCACCCACCTCCAGAAAGCTACTGTGGGAGTGCTGAAGGAAACGGGCCATCTCAGAGTGTGGCGCTCCAGTTCCCCTAGGCTGACAGCCTGGCAGGAGCAGCTGGAAAACTGACCACAGACTCAGGGAAGGCTGGCTCCATCAGACCATCCTGGAGTTCAAGGGAGCTAGGATGAGGAGCTGCAGTGGTCACTTCTTGAAATACTCTTTAGGAAATCATAAAATAGGCAGAGACAAAGAAACATGGCTAAGCAACAAAAAGGATACTCAGAGAGGGAGGATTTTAACAAAAATCTTTACAGATCCTCCAAGGCTAAATAAAGTTCAGTCCAGATGTCAGCAAAAATGCCATGTTAAGGACCCATCAAAGCAATAAGAGCAATGGCAAAAATTATCAGAAACAACTTTTTCAGAATTCTGAAAATTGACTGAAGGTTTTCAGTGTCTTTTAAAGGAAAACAACTGAATCTCCAGTGAGACCAGTGAACTTTATGAATTAAGTTGCCTAATCTCTCCCTCCTCCACCTAATTCTGCAATAGGTTTTAAAACCAACAGTCCCAAATCATGGTGAAAACCAGTAACCTGGCAGTTACTGGAGGAGGTCAAGTGGGGTTAGATGGAGCTCCTTCAAATCCTCATTACCAGAGAATTGTTACTATTTGATTTATCTAGTAGTTCCCTGGAAGATGCTACTCACAAAACTGTCTTTTTTGACCTCAGAGACTGACCAATGTGAACAGACTTTTCTCTGACAGTGCTTGTCAAAAACAATAGGAGGTGGCTGGGTGCAGTGGCACATGCCTGTAATACCAGAGGCTTAGGAGGCTGAGGCAGGAGGATCACAGTTGAAACCCAGCCTCAGCAAAAGCAAGGTGCTAAGAAACTCAGTGAGACACAATCTCTAAATAAAATACAAATAGGGCTAGGGATGTGGCCCACTGGTCTCAGTGGTCCAGTGCCCCGGAGTTCAGTCCCTGGTACTGCAGTCCATGATCCATAGGAGGCAATTGTTGAACATTTGGCTCTGTGAGGTGTTAGATAACAGGGCAAACAATGGGCTAACTACAGAGCTTAAAGAAGTTGGGAAATGTGATGCCCAATGGGGACTTTACAAAACTTTGAAATATTCCTGGGAATTTAGAGGGCCCTGTGCATGATGTTAAAATTCTGTGCATGTCCAGGGTTGTGAACATGTTCAAGCTCTCAACTCTGACTAACCTTGAGGCACAGCACAAGCAGGAAGTGAAAATTAAGGTAGAGTCATAAAATGCTTGACTGAGTGTTGAAGGCATACTCCAATACACACACAGAGAAACTTGGTAAATACTGGGAGCCTTGATGGTTCCAGATAACATAAGAAAATCTCTATCCAGCCATTACCTGACTACTAAGTTAACTAAGCACAGACTTTAGTGGCTTCATACAATAAAGAATACAGACTGTAGAATTATTTCAGAAAAGTCACCAACCAAATAATAACAAAGAATTGCAACAACTACAGACCCTGAGAGGGGAGTAGAAGATGATTTCCAAAGTTGCCATAGGTCATTTAAAAAAATATCGAGCCTTTTAAAAATATCCAAGTTTTAAAAGCTAATGAGAAGTGCAAAGAAACAAGAAATTATGGTTTCTACACCGAAGAAAAGGTAGTCAAGAGAAACTGTCCCTGAGGAAGCTATGTTAGGCGACTTTGTGTTACTGTAACAAACACCTGAGATAATAAATTTACAAAGAGAAAAGGTTAAACATTTTGGAGGTTGCAGTCCATGATCCATTGGCCCCATTGCTTTTAAGTCTATTAGTCAACACATGATGGTTTGGAAGTTTGGCAGAGCAAAGTTGTTCATCTCATGGCCAGGATGCCAAGATAGAATTAGGATGGGTTGGGGACCCATTATCTCCTTCAAGGACATAACCCCCATGACCAGAAAATCTCCCACTAGGCCCTACCTTTTAATATTTCCACCATCTTCCAATAGCAACAAAGTGGGGAAGGATTCTCTACCACATAGCTCTTTAGGGGACATTCCAGATCCAAATGATAAGCAAAGCTCAAATGCTAAACCTACTTAACAAAGTCAAATCAGTTATAGTAAATATATTCAAAGAGCTAAAGGATGTTGTTTCTCAAGAACTAAAAGATGGTATGATAACAATGTCTTGTCAAATAAAGAAGACCAGTGAAGAGTCAGAAATCATAAATAAAAGAACCCAATAGAAATTCTGCTGTTGAAAAGTTTAACAACTAAAATGAAAAATTTTCTAAAGGTGTTCAGCAGTATGTATGTATTTGAATTGACATGCAAGGTATCAGTGAACTTGAAGATAGATCAATTGAGATTATCCAGTGTGAGGAACAGAAAGAAAACACTGAGGTAAAACAACAGAGCCTGTGGGACAAATGTCAATATATACCCAGTGGGAATCCCAAAAGAAGAGGAAGGATCATACAGAATATTGGAATAAATAATGGTCGAAGATTCCCTAAAGCTAACAAAATATATTAATTTGTGCAAGAAGCTCAATAAATTCCAAGCAGGATAAACTCAAAAAAGACTTAAACCTAGACACATAGCAAACTGAAAAAAGACTCAAAAAGAATCTGGAAAGCAGCAAGAGAGAAGCAACTCATCAATCGCATACAAGGGATCTTCAAAAAGAATAGGCAGTCTTTTTTTTTTTTTTTTTTTAAATCAGAAATCATGAAGGCTACGTGGCAATGGGATCACAAATTGAAAGTACTAAAAGAAGAATACTGTCAACTGAAAATCCTATTTAAAGAAAAACTGTCCTTAAAAAATGAAGGATAAATTAACAATTCCCATAAAGTAAAACAGAAACAGAGTTTACCAACAAAAGATATTTTTTTAAGAGCAAGCCTGGATTAGAAAGTCCAGATACAATCAAAATATACAAAAAAAATACAAAAAAATTTGTAGTTGTAGATGGATAGCATGCCTTTATTTTATTTGCTTATTTTTATGCGGTGCTGAAGACAGAACCCAGTGCCTCACACGTGCAAGTGCTCCGTTGCTGAACTACAGCCCCAGACCTCAAAAACATTCTTTACAAGAAATATTAAAGGAAATCCTTCGGGTTCAAACGAAAGAACACTAGATGGATGGTGATCAAATCTACATGAAGAAATAAAGAGCAGGGGTAAAGGTAACTATACAGGCAAATACAAAAGACATTAGTGCTTTTTGTAAGCCTTTTTCTCCTAGTTGATTTAGCTAACATTCAGTATATAAAGAGGAATTTTATGGCAATAACAGCACAAAGGAGCGGGGGAAAGAGAAAAGTTGTATATGAACCAGGTTTGTATACTATTGTAACTAAGTTGGCATTAGTTTGAGTAGTTTGCTATGTTAATTGTAATCCCCAGGGTCATCACTAAGAAAATAACGAAAACAAACTATAGTAAAAGACCTGACAAGAAGGGGCTGGGGCTGTAGTTCAGATATGTGGTAAAACACTTGCCTAGCATGCATGAGCCCTAAAGTTCAATCCCCAATACAAAACAAACAAACAAACAGACAAAAAGAAAACACAACTAGAATGGCTATACTAACATCAAGAAAAAAGATTATTATTAGAGACAAGGACATTTTATAATGTTAAAGGGTTACTTCAACAAGAAAACATAACAAGTATAAACATATGTCCACTTAACAACACAGCCTTAAAATATATGAAGCAAAACTAAAATTTAAGGGGAGATAGACAACTTAGCAATAATAGATGGAGAATCAACACTCCACTTTCAGCAATGGACAAAACTAGAGAGAAAATCAAGGCAAGAGAAGACTAAAAGTTCCACCCAATGTAATCAACTCCTTTTCCTGAAGCTCCAAAATAAATTAAAGGCTCAAATGCAATATTTACTGTCTTCCAGAATCTGGACCTACTTTTTCTAAATGGCTTATTATTATTTGTCATTATCTTAAAGTCTTGGTGACTACATGTTTCAAGTAAAACTCTCAACTCATTTTTGGAAGTATCACCTCATTATTTACCTCAGAGATCAGCAAATTTTTTTCTTCAGAGGGCCAAGCAGTAAATATTTTAGGTGTTGCAGACAATACAGTCCTTCTCACGGCTATTCAACTCTGCCTTGGGAGAACAGAGCAGTCATAGATAGTAAGTGAATGAGCATGGACATGGTCCAGTAAAACTACAAAAACAAATGTGGGCTGGATTTAGATTGTGAACTTTAGTTTTCTGATCCCTAGTCCACGCCAAAAGCTTCTGGAATGGATGATCATTGTGCAGGCTGATTTCTGCACAAAAGGCTCCTGGCTCAGGGGCTGATTTGAGGCTGAAATCCAGCTATGTTCTGTTTGTCATATGAAACCCCCTATGCGGCATACCTCTGCCTGTTTTGCATAAAGCACTAATTTGCATAAATATTCTAATTTGCATAAATCACTCTGTGGGCTAGTGCTGACTCTAAATTCACCACCATCTTTTGAGGTCACATTTTTTTTTCTTACTTCTATAAGAAATCAAAGAAGTCAAAAAATCTGCATAAAAATCATCCTCAAACCATTGGTTAAATCTTCAGTATTCCATGAAGCCCAGAAGAAAATGGCATCAGGAAAACTAGAGAACTGAGCAGAGAGTTCAACAGAAATAACAGTAGTACTAGAGAAAGATCAGCCAATCTGGGGAAGGGGAAGTTGGGTTTCAAATCTTGCCAAAGTGCAGGAGGTGGTAAACACCTTAGGCTTTTCACTTTTTTGCTATTGCAAACTGCAAACTCTGCTCCAACAAGTGCCTTGCCTATGAGTCCTGTGTAATTATCGAGACCCCCTGAAAGACCATGCTCAAGAGTAAGGGTCACATTCTAGAAATAAAGTCAGTGCCTTGGGATTAAACTGAAATAAACTAGTCCTGCAAAGGCCCAGCACAACAATGACAGTTTATGTTTTCCAAAGATGCCCATAATATCTCCCATCTTAAATGTGTCTAGAATCTTCCATTCACTCAGCAAAGGATGGAGTCTATATTCCTCTTTCTTGAACTTGAAGGGCCTTCATGACTGCCTCCATAGAGTATGGCGGAAGCAATGGGATATGACTTCTGAGACTAGGTTATAAAAATGCCACATATATCCACCATGTTCTCTTGGAATACTTGCTCTTGGAACCCAGCCACAATGCTGTGCGGAAGTCCCAGAAGCTTATGGAGAGGAACTGAAGCCGCTAGTCCACAGCCTTGCTGAGTTCCCAGCTGAAGTCAGCATCTATAGGTCCATCATATGAGGGACCACCTTGAAAGCGGATCCCCCAGCCAGCTGCCCCAGCTGATGTTGAGGTGAGAAGAAAAGAACCATTCCTGCTGAATCCCACCAAATTAGTAACATAAATTATTGTGGTTTTTTCAGTTTTGGATTTTTAAAAATGAGATAATAGCTAGCAGAAATACCAACCCTTGAAAGAATTAAGTGATCTAGTACTCCATCTGCCTTTCAGAAGAAAAATCTATCCTTCTTTGGACAAAGATAACATTTCCCATAACCTTTACAATTTTTTTTATCCACATGTTTGGAACCCAGGCAAAATTACATGCTGTTTAAAATGAGATCGAATGACTGAAAAAGAAGAGGAAAGAAATGACCATAAAAATATATGCTCAGGTGATCCAGATTGTAGAATATCAGACAAAAATTGAGAAAATAACTATGATTCAAGAAAATAAAGATAAAGATGTAAAATTTCACCAGAGTCGGAATTAATTTTTTTTTAAAGGAGTCAAAGGAAAAACACCATTTTGGAGAGCTATTCGGCAATACTTAAAGGATTGAAGAAGCAAATACTTATGATCCAGTGATTCCACTTCTGGATATCTACCTTGGCAAAACTTCCACAGTTGTACAAGGAGACATATGCAAGGTGTTTGTGGAGCAGTTTCCTATAGCAGAAGTGGAAATAACCCAACTATCCTTATGCAGAGTAGTAGATAAACTGTGGTTTATTCATAGTATGGAACACAGCAGAGCCACTGATGAGTGCGCTAATTTATCCATGTGGAGAAATCCCCCAAATGGGATATTTAGTGCAGAAAGATATATGAGGCATTCAAAGAAAGTTTTAAAACTCAATAAATGAGCCGGGTGTGGTGGTGCCCATCTGTAATTCCAACGACTTGGAGGGCTGAGACAGGAGGATCGCCGGTTCAAAGCCAGCCTCAGCAACTTAGTGAGGCTCTAAGCAACTTAGTGAGACCCTGTTTCAAAATAAAAATTAGAAAGGGCTGGGGATGTAGCTCAGTTCCCAAACAACAACAACAACAACAAAAAACACAACAACTCAGCAAATGAGAGTGTGTGTACACATGATTAAGGCACAAAAACATGCATGAAAATAATTAAAGCTAATCCAAATAGTGGTTACTTTTAGAGAAAGAGGAAAAAAAGAAGGATTGGGTAGAGCTTCAGGTGTAACATTTTTTACTTTTAAAAAGGCAGCAAGTATTGAAAAAAATGTTAACTTCTGTTTAATTTTGTGCTAGTTTACCTGGTTGTCTGTATTATTTATGCTGAGATTATATCATATATATATATATATATATATATATATATATATAGTACTGGGGATTGAACCCAGGAGTTCTCTGTCACTGAGCTAACATTTCTAGCCCTTTGTTATTTTGAGACAGGGTCTTGCTAAGTTTTTGAGGCTAACCCCAAACTTGTGATCCTCTTGCCATAGCCTCCCGAATTACTGCCACTTCATTCAGCTGAGGATATATCATATTTTTAAAAAGCATACCAAGGGGCTGGGGATGTGGCTCAAGCGGTAGCGCACTCGCCTGGCACGCGTGCAGCCAGGGTTCGATCCTCAGCACCACATACAAACAAAGATGTTGTGTCCGCCGAAAACTAAAAAATAAAATATTAAAAAATTCTCTCTCTCTCTAAAACAAACAAACAAACAAAAACATACCAAAAAGCGTCTTCTTTTTCCTTTGGTACTTGGGGTTAACCAGGGCCTTAAACATGCTCTACTCCTGAGAGTGTGACCTCAGATGCCAAATGTTGTTTTTTTTTTAAATTTTAATATTTATTTTTTAGTTTTCGGCAGACACAACATCTTTGTTTATATGTGGTGCTGAGGATCGAACCTGGGCCGCACGCATGCCAGGCAAGCATGCTACCGCTTGAGCCACATTCCCAGTCCCTGCCAAGTGTTTTTATAACGTAAAAGTACCTATGTTTTCATCAGCTCATTTTTTTTCTATCACAGAAATTCAAATTTAAGAATCTTATTTCCTGCCTGTCTTCATTTCTTCTTTCCCTAGTTTCTTCCTTTGATACCAAGATGGGCATTGGTCACAATAGGAAATACCAAGATCATCAACTCACCACCATCCTTTCACAATGTTTGAGGAGGCCAGTGATGAATGAACCAACTGTTCCGGTGCGCAAGGAGTTAGTGGAGTAGGGCTGTGAGCCTTCTGCGCAAGGAGTTAGTGGAGTAGGGCTGTGAGCCTTCTACAGTCATGCCCAACCACCTCCTAAGCTTTTAGAGACGCTCAGAGCCCAGAGTTCTTTGGTATTTCCAGTGAACCTTGTAGAGGTTATTGAGAATACTCTCAAGTTTCACCATATCCCTTGGATCCTATTTTTCAGTGTGTTCCCTAAAAGATTGGCAATTGTCAGCTCTGTGCCAGAGGACTCTCCTTCTCTCCCACTGCCACTCCCACCCTTGAAGTTATTCCACCTCCAAATTTCCAGGGAACTACCAACATCAGTGAGTCTCGATCACTGAGAACCAATGGGAATTGATACCTGACCCTCAGGGAGGGGCAACTCAGGCACGTGTCTTCCTGAGTCCCCAGTAGGATTAAAGTCCTTTATCCCCAGAGGTAGTCATGCCCTTCCTTTCCCTTCCCAGTCTCAGTTACTACTCAGCTACATGCATTTGAATTCTTTTTCAGGGTCTGCTTCTGGGGAATCCAGACTAAAAGGGTGAAAAGGAAGGATATGCTGGGGAAGTTTCAACTACAGAGGAGGTTTCCATAAGGTGGATCCACGGCTCTGGCTAACTTACAACATCAGCAAGATGGCTGGAATGATCAGTCCTGGATTGGCGAGGAAAGCAAAGATCTTGCCCAGGAAGGTCGGGAAATCATTTTCAATGGTCTCTTGGAGGACGTCATACATTCTGTTTTTCCCACTGGAAAGAGGAGAGGACACATTTACAGCTGCTGCCGAGCTCACATAGCACGTACAATTGGGTCTAAGCCCCATGGCTCCAAAGCTGCTGCTTGCCACTGCTTTCCTAGAACAAGAATCCTGCTTCAAATGGACTGCAAGTGAAAAATGTCTTCCTTCAGGGGCTGCCATTTGGTCTAGGGGGTATAGCTGTTCTGCACTGTTCTTGCCCTTGGTACCCCACAATCTCTCAAACTATATGGGTCTTCTCAGAAAGAAAAAATGGGTTGTCTCATATATTCTAATCTGAGAAAATTGTATATGTTATAGCTCCAACATGGAGCTTCCTCTGAGTTCCCTGGCATAGGAAATATTCTCCAGGGGCCGACATGATGGAAACTTCGTGGTGCCTCTCAAACATACCCACAATTAGTCTTCATATTATAATTCCAGGAGGTTGGATTGCCCAAGACAGGCTTCTGCACTATTCACAACTTTAATTTCAGTTTTCGTCCAATTCCTAATAATTAATATTCAGATTGACTCTACAAATGCCTGCCAGAGAATCCTGGGAGCTGATGGTTCTTGATTGGTAATTTTAGTGCTAAGATGTGGGTTGAGGGGTTTTCAGTTCCTGTTTCAAGTTCTTGCTTTCCCCTTTATAAGCTATAGGACTAATTTCTTTCTTTCTTTCTTCTTTTAATACCTGCATTTATACTCTTGCTGTCTCTACTGGAGCTATACAGTCAATTGTGGCTATTAAAAATAATATAAAAAATTATGGGGGCTGGGATTGTGGCTCAGCGGTAGTTTGTCTAGCATGTGGAGGCACTGGGTTCGATCCTCAGAACCACATATAAATAAGTAAATAAAATAAAGATCCATGAATAACTAATAAAAATATTTTTTAAAAATTAGGATGAAATAAAATTTAAAATTCTGTTTTTTAATCATAAATTCAAGAACCCAATAATCCTGTGACTAAATTATATTAGAAGAGCAAATATGGAATGTTTTCACCATTATAGAAATAATGTGATGGAAACTTGATTGTGCTGAAGTTTGATATCTTGGGCAAGATACTGAAAATTTGTCTGCCCTAGTCTGTCTGTCTGTCTATCCACAACACATAAAAGTACATATATGTATGTATGTATATACATATGTATGCATATATACATGCATACACACACATATATATATATATACATATGTATTAAATTTTGTATAATACTAATATAATGTAATATGGAATTATAAGTGTAATAACAGTATTTTACTCAGAAGATTATTTAGAGAATATAGACATGAATCATATAAAATACTGAATATGTTGCTGTTAAGTTGTAAGTGCCCTCCAAAATGTTGCAGCTAGCAGCCTTATTGTTTTTTCCTTGTGTAAAATATAGATCGGGGTTGACAGACAATAGCCCATGGACAAATTCAACATGTCACCTATTTTTATATGGCTTACGATCTGAGAAAGGTTTTACCCTTTAAGTGGTTAGGGGAAAAAAGATCAAAGAACCATGATATTTTATTACACATAAAAACTGAAATATGAAGTTCAAATTTCATTTTCCATAAATAAAGTATAATTGGAACACAGCCCTGCTCATTCACTCATGTACTGTTGATGGCTGATTTTGTGCTGTTATGGTGGACATGAGCAGCTGCACCAGAGACTGACTGTGGCTATCTCATTGCTCAGCACTCTTGTGCAGTTCACTGTAAATCACAGTGATGCTGTTGTATTATAATCTGACAGCATTTGAAGTGCCATGTCTGTCACCATGTCCTAATGTTTATTATTTTTATTATGTATTTTCATCATTATTATAGTTATTAACATTATTACCATAGTAATCGTTCAAATTAATGGGATTCACTGTGCTTTTCCATATGTGCCTACATAATGCATTGATCATAACTATCCACCCTACTATCCATGACCCTTCCTCTCCCACTCTTTCTCCCAGTACCTTCTTAGTCCCTGAAAGTCCCTCTTAATTTCTTTCTGTGCCCACACCTCTTCCCTTTCCCCATTTTTAGTGACTACTATTCCATTCCATACTTCTCATATCATGACATTTAATTTATTTTTCACTGTGAGTGCAGATCCAGCATATAAAAACAAGAAAAGTGAACTTCAGATTGTATGCTTTAAGTCAAAGTTGAGTGGATTACTTTACCATTGAAATAGATATTATTTTAGTTTCCAAGAGCTGCTGTGACAGGTTACCATAGTGGTATCTTAAAATGATAAAGCAGAAGGTCTTGTCACAGGGTTAAAACCAGAATGTTGGCAGGTTTGCACTCCCTCCAGAGGGAGGTAATAGATGCGTATCTGTTTCCTTGCTTACCCAGCTTCTGGAGCTACATTCCATGTATTCCTTGGCTCATGTCCCCATCTTCCATCTTCAAAATCAGTAGAGAATCTTCGACTATCTCTGTGTTCCATGGTCCTATCACCTTCTGCTCTTTCATAATCAAGTCTCTCTCTGCTTCCTTTTCATAAGGACACTTGAGATTTAACATTTACCTGGATAATCCACAATAATCTCTCCATCTCAAGATCCTTAACTCCATACATCGGAAAAGATCCTTTTGTTATATAAGCTAAGATTCATAGTTTCCAGGAATCAGGACCTGGATTTCTTTGGAAATCTGTATTAATCTTACCCAACTCCACTTTTTCCTCCTTACCCCCTGCTTTCCCATCCTTGCCAAATTAAATTCATCTTACTCACAAAATATATTCACTTCATCTCTCCAATTCCAAAAGAAATAGATGGAGGAAGGAAGGAATCACCATCCTGAGCTATTTTGAAATCCAACCAGCCAAATCCATTAGATTGCAAAGGCCTGAGAATAATCCTTTGAATCCTTGGTTCACCCTCTTTGTCTACAGATCCACCCTCCAGGACTGTAGTCCTGCCTTTGGAAATTATCCTTTCTTTTCCTTGAAGGGTAGTTCATACTCTAGCTGAGTGGATTTTTTATTTTTTATTTTAGATATATACATGACAGGGCTGGGGATGTGGCTCAGGGGTAGAGTGTTTGTCTAGCATTTACAAGATGTGGGGTTCAATCTCAGCATGACACATACACACAAAAGATTGCTATATAAATGATAGTAGAGTGTATTTTGACATACATACATACATACATTGTGTATAACTTCCCATCCTTGTTGTTTTATATGATGTGGAGTTACACTGGTCATGTATTCATGTGTATGAACATAAGAAAGTTATGTCTAATTCATTCTCCTGTCTTTCCTATTCCTATCCCCCAGCCCTTCCCTTCCCTTCATTCCCCTTTGTCTAATTCTATCCCTCCCACCATTGTATGTTAGCATCTACATATCAGAGAGGACATTCAGCCTTTTTTTTTTTTTGCAGGGGGGGATTGGCTTATTTCACTTAGCATGATAGTCTCCAGTTCCATCCATTTACCAGCAAATGCTATAATTTCATTCTTTTTTATGGATGAGTAATATGCCATTGTGTATATGTACCACATTTTCTTTATCCACTCATTTATTGATGGGTACCTAGGTTGGTTTCATAGCTTAGCTATTGTGAATTGAGCTGGTATAAGCACTGATATGGCATTGTCATTACAGTATGATGATTTTAAGTCCTTTGGGTATAAACTGAGGAGTGAGATAGCTGGGTCAAATGGTGGTTCCATCCAGAGGAATTTCCACACTGCTTTCCAGAATGATTTCACCAACTTGTAGTCTCTCAAGCAAGGTATGAGTGTATCTTTCCCCCCATATCCTGGTCAACATTTATTGTTACTTGTATTCTTGATAATTGCCACTCTGACTGGAGTGAAATGAAATCTCAGTGTAGTTTTAATTTGCATTTCTTTAATTGCTAAAGGTGTTGAATGTTGAACACTTTTTTATATATTTTCTGACCGCTCATATTTCTATTTCGGTGAGCTGCCCATTCAGTTCCTTTGCTCATCTATTGATTGGGTAATTTGGTTTTTTTGGTGTTAAGTGTTTTGAGTTCTTTGTACATCCTGGAGATAAATGCTCTATCTGAGGTGCAGGTGGCAAAGATTTTCTCCTATTCTGTAGACTCTCTATTTACATTCTTGATTGCTTTATTTGCTGTGAAGAAGCTTTTCAGTTTGATACCATCCCATTTATTAATTCTTGATTTTACTTCTTGAACTTTAGGAGTCTTGTTTAGGAAGTTAGTTCCTAAGCCAACATGATGGAGAGTTGGGCCTACATTTTCTTCCAGTAGGTGCAGGGTCTCTGATCTAATTTCTAGGTCCTTGATCCACCTTGAGTTGAGTTTTGTGCCAGGTGAGAGATAGAGGTTCAATTTCATTTGGCTACATATAGATTTCCAGTTTTCCCAGCACCATTTTTTGAAGAGGTTATTTTTTCTCTGATGTATGTTTATGGTGCCTTTGTCTGTTACAAGATGACTGAATTGATGTGGGTTTGACTCTGTGTCTTCTATTCTGTTCCATTGGTGTTCATGTATGTTTTTGTGCCAATACCATGCCACTTTTGTTACTAGAGCTCTGTAGTAGAGTTTAAGATCTGGTTTTGTGATGCCTCCTGCTTCACTCTTGTTGCTAAGGATTAGTTTGGCTATTCTGGGCCTCTTATTTTTCCAAATGAAATTCATGACTGCTTTTCTATTTCTATGAAGAACATCATTGGAATTTTAATAGAAGTTGCATTAAATCTGCATCCAGCTTAGTAGATTTTTATCAGCCTGTTTTCTGCCTATAAATTCTGGGAGGTCAAAGCTTTCCTCTACCTTGTCTTCACTTTGGCCCTTTTTTGCCAGAAAAGCTGGCAGCATTTCTCCTGATATGACATTCTCAAAACCCTTACAGGTCTTCCATGTACGCCATGGGAATTCCCTCTATTAGACAAAAGGGTTTTATAATGTCTTTACTGGATACTCCTGCTCTATTCCTGGCTTCTGCTGGGATGATTGAGGGGGTCTATGAGTCACATGCTTATTCTTTGTGAATGAATATTCAGTTATTCAATACTACAGAAGCACTAGCAGAAGGTTATCCAGCTTCACATTTCGCTTTCTTTTTAGAGAAGTCTTCCATCACAGTGAATCTAAGCATCTTTTGCAATGTGGATAGACTGAGAATTTCTAAAAATCATCATCAAGTCCTGGTTCTTTTTTCGCCTATCAGCTCTTACCTCAATTTATCTCTTCCTTCTCATGCTTTACCCTAAGCAGCATGATAGATCTTAAATATCCTCGGCTAAACATCCAAAGTCATTGCCCATAAGTTCAACTTTCCATACAACTGTAGGACACAATTCAGCTGAGTTTTCTGTTGCTGTATAACAAGGATCATCCTTCCTCCAGTTTCTCAAATCATATTCCTCATTTACCAGTTGTGTGTTTGATTAGGAGTTGAAGGAATATAACCAGAGAAAACAAACTTGTGTAAGACATTTATAATATACAGCAAGAGCAATGTGCTTGAAGAATGGAGATCATTGAGAACAATAGCCCATTTAAAAATAAATAATTTCAAGTGGTTTTTTTCCTTGACTTTTGATGAGTTGCTGATACTGCTCAGTTGTTTGTTTGAGGATTCAATGCCAAATTTGAAGTGACTGTGAAATGAACTTCTGAATATTCTGTGTGGAACAAATATGGGCGAGAATATTTTCAAAGAAATTGCAAAGGCACCAATTCAATACAACCTGAGGGGGAATCTACTATGATGTGCAAATACATGTGATAATGTTCAGATTATGTGCGGAGCAGAAAAAAAAACTTAGGTGGACAAATTTGCAAAGCTTACAAAATTTTAGGTATTTACAGCCTATGTTTATTCATTGTACTGTTCATCAGCAGGGAATTTTTAGGAAACATTTTAATCTATTATCTGCAATTGAATCAGTTGTGTCAATGGTGAACTTCATTTGTTCTTGTGCTTGTTTCTAATTTGTAAATTTTTGTCAGAAATAAAAACTGAACACCTTGACTTATTCTATTACAGAGCAGTTCAACAGCTCAGCAGTAACTTTGAACCTCTATTATGTAAACATTATCACCTTCCCCCAAAGAATTACATTTTTCTCACTGGCAGATTTTATTACAAAAATGATACATTATTATTTTTATTACCAAATTTTGGATTTTGTCAATAAAAAACTTTATAGACATTTATTTCTCTCTTGTTGTATAAATAGCTTTATAATAGTCTTGGTTTTGCCCTTTGGCCTCAGTCTTACTCTGCTTTCTGTTGCTATAACAGAATTCCCAAGATTGGAAAATTTGTAAAGAATAGAGGTTTATTTTTGCTCACAGTTCTGGAGGCTGAGAGTTCCAGGATAGGTCATCTGCATCTGAAGAGGACCTCATGCTGCTTCAACTCATGGTAGAAATTGGAAGAGCCAGCAGGTGCATTTGGAAGAGACAAAACAGAAGGGACAGACTTCCTTTACAGCAAGCCTCTCTTGCAGTGACTGATCCAATCCTGCAAGTGTGAGAATGAACTTGCTCCCATGAGAATTAACCCAATCTCATGAGAGAATGGCATTAATTCACTTTAATGACCTAATCACCTCTTAAAGTCCCAACTTCCAACAAACAACATTTAACCTTTGCAACTTGCAAAACCTAAGATATGTACAATTGGGCCTTTACAGAAAAATTAGTTGGCCTTTGATATAGATGATGCTCCCACCTCATGGTGTTGTTATAAGGATTAAATACATGCTTCATGCAATGCCTGTAGCAAAGTAGACATTCCAAATACCTCGGCTACCCTCTTCACTGGTAAGTGTTTTGTCACTTTGGGGATTATCAGGGTCCTTGGCACCTCACTTTGGGATTGTCAATATCCTTGTTTCATTTCTTTGTCTTTCCCTTCTTCTTTCTGGCCAAATTAGTGAGGAGTTTTGGTAGAATTTCAACAAATCCAGAGAGAAGGAAAAGCAAATTAAAATTATACCCTATCTGTCTTATATATTAAAAAAATAAAAGATCTGGGTTACAAATAGACTGAAGTGAGTCTGGAGATACATCAGCAGCTATAATCCACAGCACCTCTCCTGTTAGATGTATTGAGGGACTAGAATCTATTGCCCTTCCTTATATTCCATGTTGCCTGGGATTGCTCCTCCTTTTCTTAAAAAAATGAGTTAATTAATGAGTGAAGAATTTAAAATAGATGTAGTGCTTAATGATTCCACTTGTGTGAAAGTGATCAATATGCTTGTGTGCACCAAATGTAATAAAAGACTTCTCTAAATTGGCTTCAGATATCTACTAGTTCTTGGTTCAGTGGCAACAGGAAAAGCTGAGCCCATGGTCAAGCCTCTCCCACTACCACCTTACTGTGACTTTGGCCAGACACCATAGATCTGCATACCTAGCCACATTCACGCCTGAACAGGCTCTTCTGGGAGGAAACACGGGTGAAATGCTGGCCAAGGTGGAGCCTGTGCAGATTTGTTATGTGGGCTGGTACAGTATTTTTTTTAACTTGAATTAATGGCTGTAATAAAATAGAGAATTTCAAATAAGCATTCAGATTTCTGTGAAGATCTGGAAGGTCTGGTAATATCAGGCTCATGTTTCTGATAGTAACTATTGACTGGAGATAAGCACCAGCTGCCCTTGACGTGGTCAGGGCTCATGCTTAACAAACTCACAGATATACCTTACTGTGGAGTAAGCACTTCACAAAAAAAAATCACATTAAATATTAATAACAACCCTGAAACAAACACTAGCAGTATTTCCATCTTACATGCAATGAACCTGCAGAGCTAAATAACTTCCTCAAGATCACCCAGCTGGCAAATGACAGAGTTGGCTCTATATTCTATTCTCAAAATCAGAGGGCTGGCAAATATTTTCTGAAGAGGGCAGGGTAATAAAAATGTTAGGCTTTGTGGGACAGATAGTTTTTGCAGTAATGACTCAATTCTGCTATTTTAATAAGAAAACAAACATAGGCTAAATGTAAGCAAATGAATGTAACTGTGTTCCAATAAAACTTTATTTACAAAAACAAGTGGTGATCTGGATTTGGTCCATAGGCTACAATTTACCAACCCCTCAGCTATGCAGTGCTGCCCACCTTATTCATTTATGTCACCTGCCTGACCCTTGTAGACATTTGATCTGGTCCAAACCCTAAGTCCCTCCCTGTATAACTGGATTTCTGTGAAGTAATGGTCTAGTTTGAGCATTGACTATAAACTACGTATTCTCCTCCAGACACTGGGTATAAAGCCAACAGAAAGGAAACAAAAACATGCCCTCATGGGGCTTATGCCCTGGTAGGGGAGAAGGCAACCCACAAGATAAATGAGGAAAAGGTGTGTTACAGGGCAACAAGAGCTAAAATTAGCCAAAGCAATATGTTTGTGTGTGTGTGTACGTGTGTGTGTGTGTTTATGAGACATTTTAGTTAGGAGCTCCAGGAAAGGGCTCATTGAGAACATGACCTTTGAGTCAAGACCTAGAGCAAATAAAAGATGGTTATGAAAATATCTTCAAGAAGACTGTTCCAGCCATTGGTGGGTTTTGATTGAAAGAGCGAGAGGAAGAAGATGGTGGTCATGTTTCCTTCGAGTGCCATTTTCAGGTCACTTCCCCTGTGATCAGGATATAGGCTGTCAGAGCTTCTCAAGGCAGCAGATGAGGCAAAAGGGGCCCAGGTGGGGTGGGACAGGGATAGCACAGGACTACTCACTGGTATCCCTCTTGGGCACAGGTGGGCAGCCTGTGAATCCCTGGTGTTCGTGTCCAGGCCCAGCCCTCCTACTCTTGTTCAGGAAGAGGTCAACTGAGGTTTCTCCAGGTGGTTCTTCCTTCAGCCTGGCATCACAGCCTTCTCTAGTTCAGTATGTGCCTTCTGTTCTAGACTGACACCCCTTCCTTCTTGTGAACCCCTGTTTGACCAGATCATGCTCTGCTAGAACATTCCTGCAAACACCTTTTCTGGGCTCCCCCAACCATAGGCCCTTATCTAAGTGAGTCCCTTATAAACAGAGAAGTCCCAGATTGGCCTTTCTCAACGTGTGTTTTTTTATAAGTTGGTAGTCAGGGCTGACACCGGAGTGAGGTGTGTGAGGTCCCAGGATGCACAATTTGAGGAGATACTTTCTGTCAGGGTTGCATCAGTGTAGTGCAGGGCCCCACTCACCTGTATCACCCTGCTTTCAGCTTGGGGTGACTGTTCATTAAGTGGGAGCAATAGCTACTATGTTATCATATGGCATAATTCCTGAGGAGTGCACATTGAGCATTTTTAAGTGAGAAGGTGGCAGACAGAAGGGGCAGAGTGTTCCAAACTGCTTTAATCCCAGAGCTCCTTTTTACAGAGTAGGCAGAGCCCTTTGTTTTCAGAGGGTCACACAGTTGGAAAGACAGCAGTAGATGCACACTATTTCTCTATCTACCTCCTTCTACAACTATTGATCTTTTAACACAATATTCAGTCTCCTAAACTAGTTTGACTCATACCCGAACCCACAGTGCTGGCCAGTGCTCTTCAGACTGGGGGGGGGGCCCCAGTCAAGAGTCTCAATCAAGATCAACTGCCACTGCTTCACATCTGGATGGCACTTACACATTTACAGTCATTTCATCTTCTGAATATGCCCCATTACTTTTCTTATGGTAGAGTAATCCCAGGTGGTAGATTATTCAGTGTTAAAAGGTTGCCATGGTCCCATCCAGTATGGTAGTCATTAGCCACGTGTGTTTATTTAAATTAAAATTAATTACTATGAAATAAAATTAGAAATTCGGTTTCCCAGTTTCTCATTTCAAGCACTCAACAATCATGGGTGGCTGGTGGCTACCATATTGGATAGCACAGACATAAAACATGTCTATCTTTATGGAAAACTCTAGGGAAAAGCCCTGATGATTTGCCCAAAGCTCCATGGCCTTTTGCAAGTGGACCTGAAACCAGAACCTGAATGCTGAGCCAGACCCTGCCTGGGGAGGGGAGCCGCTCCCATGCAACAAAGACTGTGCACCTGAATGGGCCGCAGTCAAAGGAGGGTGGGAGGGACATGATGGTGTAGGCCACGGGCAGGAGGCTGAGGAAGAGCACCAGCAGCAGCAGGCCCATGTAGAAGTTGTTGGATCGGGAGGCTTTGAACACACGTTCATGGGGGACATTGCTGCTCATCACTGCCCAGCACTGGAAGTACATGGAGGTCAGCAGCCGCAGGACATTAATGCCCACCAGTCCCGGTGCATAGAAGGAGCCCATCCTGGAAGGGCAAAAACCAGACACCTGGTTGGCCTGGTAGCAGGAAAGGTCGAAAAGCTGATAGAGGAAATGGGATGGAAGGGTTAGGGGCATGAGACCAAGCCGTTTCCCTGCAGGTTACAACTGTCCCATCCAGTATGGTGGTCCCAGTGGCAGGGGCTTCCCATTTAATGAGGGCATTTATCACCAAGCCATAGCCACCCTGTCCACAGGAAAGGGAAGACACTCTGAGCATTGCTGGCTTGGGCTCTGATCAGAACTGGATCAGATCAGATCTTATCAGGCCTCTCCACCAAGCATCCTGTCACCAAGGTCTCCATTAACGGCATTGCGGTAGGACAATGGTTTGCAGGTGCCCTTAGCACCGCAGAAAGCCTTTGGCTGAAGTTACGTAGCCTCCTCTCACTTTCTTTCCAGAGGAAAGTTCTTTATTTCATTTACCTCTTCCCTCCTATCCTTCCTTCTCCCTTCCCTTTTTCTCCTCCTTCCTTTCCTCTTTCCTTTCTCCTTTCTTCTACCCAGTACTTTCTTCTCTCTCCCTCTCTCCTCTTTCTCTCCATCTTTGCTTTCATGGTAGCACTTGGATGAGCCAGAAACCATCCTGGTTCTCATCCCGTCCTGCCCTCTATTTTTCATGTGAAAGAAGGAAGCTCAGAGAGCTAAGATGACTTGTCCACCTTCCCCCAAGTTAGCTGTGTGACAAAGCCTGGGATTCTAGTGGGTTTTTTTTTTTTTTTTTGGCTTCCCAAATTAGGTGATCCTCAGATGAAATGAATAACTTACCAGATCATTCCTTGGTTGAAGATCAAACCCAGTACATTTCCACTAATATCAAACTCAGCATATGAGGGCTAGAGAGAGAGAGAGAGAGAGAGAGAGAGAGAGAGAAACATGTTAGATGGTATCAGCCAGATGCTATTATCAGCCAACTGATGAAACCAAAGTCACTCCATCTCACAGAACCAGCTTTGGTAACAGGAGAAGAAGCTTAGTTTTAGGACTCTGTTTCATTAACATGTTTCAAACTTTAAAAAAAAAAAGTTTTGAAGTTTCTCTAAGCTGAAACATTTTTTTTTCAATTAAAAATATGATAGTTTCTGCCGTTTAGGCTGACACTGTGTTCTTGGAAGTATTTTAGCCCCTAAAAGAACATTTTATCAAAGCTTTAACCAGAAATTTACCTTGATGTTATAATCAAATGTAAATGTTACAGTAATGAGATACAAATAATTAATTGAGGATTCAAATAAAAAAGACGGCTTTAAAACAATCAAAAACAAAAAAAAAAAAAAGAAAAAGAAAAAAATGTTCTTCTAACTCTCCTTTCTCCTCATTTTCTTTCAGGCTGAAAGAAGTTTGTAGGAACAAAAAGCTTGGACTAACTGAGGTTTTCAGGTTGACTGATTTCCACAATTTTGGTGATTTTTCTAGTATTTGGAAGACTCAGAAGTTATTGAGCACTTAGGAGCCAGGAGTCCTCAGGAAGCATACTTTTACCCATGTCCCAATTTGTCTTCCAGAAACGAAAATTAAAAGGACAAGAATAAGAAAAGAAAGAATGAGAAGTTAGAAAAGAGATAAGAAAGTTCAGGAAAACATGGATCAGAAGAGGAAAGATTCATAACCCAAATACCTTAGGGTTAAATCTTCAGAATTTAAATTTCAATATTTTAAAATATTTTTAAACTTATCTACTGGGCTTTGTGCCCTGCTTCGGAAAATCTTCTGTACCCCCAAGATTATAAGTGAATATATGCTTTCTTTTAGAAATCTACAACTTCATTTTTTTGATGTTTAAAACTTTTATTCACTTCAATTATTTTATCTAGGTAAAATGAGTAAGAGATATAGTCCTCTGCCCACCCCTAGTTCAATTTTATATAATCCTTCTTTATCCCACTGATTTGAAAGACTCTCTTAACCTCAACAAAAGCCCCACAGAGAGTATATTTTTCTGGACTTTCTATTCTGTTTCATCAATAAGTAAGTCTATTCCCTGATACCCAGTTTTAGTTATTATAGCTTCATACTATGTTTTAATATAATGGTAGGTCCAGTTACTTTTATTCTGCATTCCAAAAATTTTTCCTAGATATTCCCACATGTTTATTTTTTGAAGAAACTTGAGTATAACTTTGGGTCTTCTTGAATTTTTAAATTAATATGAAGACATCTGGGCAATATTTTATCTTCCTATCAAAGAGATCATCTTCTTGGAGGATGAAGTCTTTTCATCCTGTTCTCAGACAAGATTATGAAATTTTCCTTACCACTGAGGGGGTAAGGAAATAAGCTTGTTTAAAACTGGTGGGGAATATATAATGAATTAAAATAAACTAAAAAAAGAAACAATGAAACTAACCTCTCAACAAACCCATCATTAACATAAAAAATAAAATAAATAAAAAATTTAAAACAAACAAACAAAAAAACTGGTGGGAAAGCCAGGCGCCATGGTGCACACTTGTAATCCCAGTAGCTCAGGAGGCTGAGGCAGGAGGATCACAAGTTCAAATCCAGCCTCAGCAAATAGCTGAGGCTCTAAACAACTTGGAGAGAACCTGTCTCAAAATAAAAAATTTTTAAAAGGACTAGGGATGTGGCTCAGTGGTTCAATTCCTGGTACCAAAAACAATGATAAATAAATTAAACCAGCAGTGGACTAAAATAAAAAAAAATATGATAGATGGGCTGGGATTATGGCTCAGCGGTAGAGCGCTTGCCTAGCACGGGAGGGACCCAAGTTCGATCCTCAGCACCACATAAAAATAAAGGCATTGGGTTGTGTCCATCTACACCTAAAAAGTAAATATTTTTAAAAATATGATAGAAATCTGCACCCTTACCCCTGCTAGGCACCCTGCTGCAAACCAGGATGAAGGTTACATAGGTAATCAGGATATGGAGACTCTCACAGAGCTCAATTAAGGGAGAGCCCCGCTCCCAACACCAGTGAGTAATGGGTGGGCTAATGAGGTGTAGAAGAGACATGCACAGGAAAAATGAGCAGGCCAGAGGTTCTGCCAGGTCAGAGAAGGTCACTGTGGAGAGGAAACGGCACATGTTTAGAATGAGCAGTTTGCTAGGTAAGTGGGGAAGAAGAGAATCCTAGGTGGAAGGAATGAGTCACAAGAGGTTTCTCAAAGCATAATCCAGATGGTTATTGAGTTTTTGGTGTGTTCTAGGATTTTGTAAAACATTCATATCCATCCTAGGGATTTCAGTCTTCCTAAGAGTTGACGCTCTGTGGGCATTTCTTTCCTCCCTCCCTCCCTCCCTCCCTCCCTCCCTTCCTCCCTCCCTCCCCACCCCCCATTTGTTTTTATAATGAAGCTGAAAATTTATTGTCTAGTGGTGTCATAACCATCCTCACATGCCGGTATGAAAAACCCACGGTGCAGGTATTTCTTAACCAATCATTTGCTCAGCACTAAAGTGTAAGGCCCACCTTTTCCCAAGGCAGAATGCCTCCATTTCCTGGATAAGATCACATTGGGAAAGAGCAGAGTTGCTTCTATGAAGGCAAAAAGGACCCTTAAAAGAGATACAGATTGTGGGGCTGGGGTTGTGGCTCATAGAATGCTTGCCTAGCATGTGCGAGGTGCTGGGTTTGATCCTCAGCACCAGAAAAATAAATAAGTAAAATAAAGGTATTGTATCCAACTACAACTAAAAAGAAATTACGAGAGAGAGAGAGAGAGAGAGAGAGAGAGAGAGAGAGAGAGAGAGAGAGAGAGAGAGATACAGGGGCTGGGGCTGTAGCTCAGCGGCAGGGCACTTGCCTAGCCTGCGTGAAGTGCTGGGTTCGATCCTCAGTACTACATAAAAATAGACAAAATATAGGTGTTCTATCTATCCACAACTACAAAAAAATAATTTAAAAAAAGATCAAATACTACACCACTTCACAGAGCAGACACTTGCATTAAGCAAAGAAAGAAATGAAATGCACAAGAATATATCTGGCTGTAAGTGCCAAAGAGGACGATGATTGAAGCAACTTTATGTGGAGTGTCTATAAAATAGTAACCTACAAATCCAGCCTCCAGATCCCAGCACCAGCAGTAATTCATAAACCGGACAAAACAAGCCCGTAGGAAGTCCCCCAGCAGGATGGTGATGTATGTTACCAGCATGTCGGACACTGTCAGCCTCATGAATTCCTGCAAGAAGGAACACAGAAAAAGGGAGTGGTCAGGGTTTGACCTTGCCCTCCCCTCCCAATCAACCGTAGCCATACATACTCACCCCTACCCATCAGAATCCACCTCTGTGGTCTTCTGATTCTTCCTGGTAGAGAGGTGGTGCAGAGAAAGGACCTCATGCTCTGGAGATTGCTTAATTTTAGTCCCAGCTCTATAAATGACCAGTTGTATGACTTTGGAATAATCTTGAAACCCCTTGAACTTGATCATGATATCACTCTTGCAGGGAGGCTTGCTGACTGTGTGCATATTGCCTGGTACATGGACAATACCTCGTGCGCCATAATTATCATCAGTAAAACCTGAAGGCTCCTGACTTGTTTCCCCCATCTGCTCTGAGATGCCAGCTGTTCCCCACTAGGACTGAACATGACCATCAATCACCAGGAACAGGAGATGAATTTTTTTTTTCCATTTCCTATTAATTTTTTTTCTTGGTTTTTGGAGAAAACAAAATGAAGAGGAACCAAAAGCAACAGAACTAAGCTTTCTCTACTTTTGTTGGGTATATGTCATTTACTAACTTTTTTATTTTTTTTTTTTGGAAAAATTGAAAGGATCCACCCCAACACAATGTTTAAGATAGCAAATAGGTTTGGAGTTCTTGGGGTGCAGAGGTCTACCCTCCAAGTGATTAAGGAACTCCTGCTGGATGGACAGTGGATGTGTTTTCAGGGTTTTTCCTCAATTGAAACATCAAGAAAGGAACAAAGAACTGAGAATAGTCACCTTTTCAGAGAGCATAACTACTCACAATGCCCACAGCTGTCTCCCAGCAAGAACCCCGGGGCACATCTGCAGGGTGCAGGGGTGGCCGGGGGACACTGTCATTCCAACCCGAGGAGTTGTAGTAGTTAAACAGAGTCCAGTGAGTGATGTTCTTTATTGTCTCTTCATTAGAAAGCTAGAACAGAAGATGGAGATATGGGACTGGAAGGAGCCAGGGATGGTCCAACTGTTTCTGCAGGAATCACACATAAAGCCAGCAGATGCCACAACCCTGCCAACAAATCCCTGAGGGCCTTTGCAAAAATTCTCTCCCCAGCCCTGCAATCTACCCAGGAAAGGGAGCAATTGGCTGAAGTCCTCAGGTCTTCTCCTCTAAGTTTGCATCCATCTATCCATCCATCTATTCATCCATCCATTCATTCTTTTTTGAGAATGATTTATTCAAGGTCTATTCTTGGCATATAAGATAGTGATGACAGGAATGACCAAGACAGATAGGTCTTCCCTCTGAAAGTTTACAGTCTAGTAAATGACAGATGAAAATGGCGAGACACAGAAGACTTCCTAGAGACAGTGTCATCAGGGACTAATTCAGTCAACTAGTTAAACATGGGAGAAGGGTGAAGAGAGAGACAAGAGAGCATTGTGCCCGTGGAGACAAAATGAGGTTCAGGAGGGAGGAGCAGTCTCCTGGGTTGGAAAGGAAGCCAGAGATGAGGGTAGAGGGACAGATAAGGGCCAGAGCCGGTCATTACCATGCTTAGAACCTTCCAGCAGTTTACCATTAGCCTCAGGTGGAAGAAGGGTAAAAGGGGTGCCATTTACCATGTGGCCCTCTTGGCTCCCACTCTAATTTTTTTACTTCTTTCTCTCCACTCATTGTTTAGCCGTCCTGCAGTTTCCTGTTGGCACTGGCTCCTCCTCTGTTTTACCCAATGTTTGCTATGATTTGTCTGATGGAGATGCTCCTTGGGACCCAGAGAAAGTTTTCCACAGCTTATATCACTCTGTTCTGTCCCTTCATCTGTTATTATTACAAGACTGTACTTTCTGAGGGAAGCCCTGTTTTTATTGTCCATTTCTCTGTCACTATTACCTCATATGCCCAGAATAAATCGTGAGTAAATTATTCTCAAAGAAAAAAAAAAAAAGAATGGGAGCTGGGATTGTAGCTCAGTGGCAGAGAGCTTGCCTCGCATGCATGAGACCTTGGATTTGATCCTCAGCATCACATAAAAATAAACAAATAAAAATAAAGATATTGTGTCCAACTACATCTAAAAAAAAATAAAAGAATGAATGTGGGCTGGGGTTGTAGCTCAGTGGTAGAGTGCTTACATGTGTGAGGCCCTGGGTTCAATCCCCATCACCATATAAAACTAATTAAACAAAATAAAGGTATTGTGTCCCTCTACAACTAAAAATATTTTTTAAAAAAGGATGAATGTACAGATGGCTGGATGGAGCCCTCCTCTGTGTGCACTGACATGCTTCTCTGGCTTTGAAGTACATCCCCTAGTGTGCTGTAATGGATGAGCTGTCTCCTGGCCCAGAGCATGAATGCACTTAGAACAGGACTGCTTCTTGCTCTCTGCCGTGCCCCAGGGCCTCACACACTGGTAAGCATTGATGAGCGGTTCAGTTAACCATGCCATATCATCGCAACGGACAGTGACTTGGCTATGGATCACTATGGAAGCTATAAAGCAACATGGGAAAGGATACAGATAAAACACTAAAGGTATTATGCAAATGACAGTAGTAAAATGTTAATAATCACAGTCCTTGAGTCACAGACTGGGTAGACATTTTTCTTCATTTTCTGTTTTTAAACTTCCAACATTTAACTAATATAAATTATGCATCTTGAAATTATTGTATTAAAAAAGGAAATGTGGTGGATTCCTGATATTGGGGGAGTTCGTTTACCTTGAGGTGGACGTCATCCATCAGGGCCAAGAGAAATGTGTAGAGGTTTCCCAGGAAGAGGGCAAAGATGCGTCCCAGCTGCCACTTCAGTCCAATGCGTGGGTGGTAATTCTCCAGGGCAGCAATGGTTTCAAACAGAGGGGGACAAAACATCCCAAGCAAGGACATTACAATCTCTACCTGAGAAATCGGGAGAGTGAGTCTGGGTTACAGTGTCATCAACATGACTTTCTTGGCCACCATACTTGCACCTCCATGGCCTTCTCATCTCCCTGCTGTCCCCCCCCTGCACCTGGGGATCCCCTGGTGTATCTATGAATTTCTATATGACCCTGAGCCGTCAGCATATGCCTGCACATCATAACTGACCCTTAGTTGGTTGCTGTAATGATTGTCACTGTTTATCAATAACAAACAAGATTTCTTGAAGAGAAAATATCCCACTGAACCCCACTAAGAGGTACAATTAATACAAGTTAATCAAAACTAAACTAATATTATTAGCCATCAGGCAAATTTCAAATCAAAACTGCAATGAGATATCCTCTCACCCCATTTAGAATGGCTGTTATTTAAAAAAAATGCTGGTGAGAATGTGGAAAGAAAGACACTCATAAATTGTTGGTGAGAATGTAAATGAATACAGTCATTATGGAAACAATATATAAGTTTCCTCCCAAACTAAAAGTAGATCTACCATATGATCCAGTAATCCCACTTTTGGGTATATATCCAAACAAATGAAATCAGCACACCCAAGAGATGCCTGCATACCCAGCATTTACTGTAACACTTCATAATAGCTAAAATATGGAATCACCCTAGATGCCCATCAATGGATGAATGGATAAAGAAAATGTCACACACACACACACACACACACACACACACACACACACACAAATATCCTCTCAGCCTGAAGAAGAATGAAATTCTGTTATTTACAGGAAAATAAATGGAACTGAAAAACATTAAGTGAAATAAACCGGACCCAGAAAGATAAGTACTAATGTTTTCTGTCATATGTGGAAACTAAAAAACACCAACCTAAATGTAGACTAGTGATTACTAGCATTTGGGAAGGGGAGGGGTTGGGAGGACTGATAAAGGTGGGCTGGGTTGGACCAGTGCATGCCATACGCATGTGTTGAAATACTCCCATGAACCCCACTATATGTGCATTGTTATGGTTTGGATGTGAAGTGTCCCCAAAAGCTTGTGTGTGAGACAGTGCAAGAATGTTTAGAAGACAAATGATTGGGTTATGATAGCCTTAACTCAATCAGTGAATTAATTCCCAGATGGGATTAACTGAGTGGTGACTGAAGGCAGGTGGGATGTGGCTGGAGGAGGTGGGCACTGAGGGGGTCGTGCCTTTGGGGTATACATTTTGTATCTCCTGATCATCATGTGAGCCGCTTCCCTCTGCCACACCCTTCTGCCATGATGTTCTGCTCACCTTGAGCCCGGAGGAATGGAGCCGGCCTTCTATGGATTGAGACCTATGAAACCGTGAGCCTCTAAATAAACTTTTCCTCCCCTAAAATTGTTCTTGTCAGGTCTTTTAGTCAAAGCAGCAGAAAAAAATAAACTGACTAAAATAACAATTAAGGGTATTTCTTTTTCCCCATCCCTTCTTTTCATTGTCTCTCTCTCTCTGTCTCTCTTTCTCTCTCTCCCCCTCTCTCCCTCTCTCTCTCTGCTTCCTGGCTGTCATGAGTCGAGCAGCTCACTTTTGGGTGTCTATGCAAAGGAACTGAGATCATCACACCAGAGGATACTTGCTTCATGAAGGAGCAAATGAGTTCTGCTGGGTGGTGCCTGATGTTCTGCACAGGTTGGGGGTTGGGCAGGCATCACCATGGGGCCCTCATCTCAAGAGCATCAAAGACAGGAAACTCAGCTCACATAAGAGAACTGATGGTGGAGGCCAAGAGTACGGTTAATGTGGCATTTGGAGTTAGCCTTCTGGTTTCCAGCCCCAGTTGTTTATTATTTGTTGGCTTCATAACTTAGCAAAAGTTACAAAATTTACCTTGTTTCTTCATGAATAAAATGATGATGGCAGTTCTTGTGAGAATCATGAGATGATGTATGTAAATCTGCCACCCCAGAGGCTGGTAAATACTCAATTTTTGGCTCTAATTTAGGGAGGATCCTGACTAGTATAACTAGATCTGAGCACAGTGGGACATTCTTTTTGCAACTAAAACTCTTTACATAGTGGGAACAGTTCATCCAAGAATGGTTGACTAAACTGCAGGTTGGTCAACTCTTCTGGGATGTTCCTCACTCTTCCCCTCCGTGTTCGCACTGACCCGTGGCTTGGCTTCTCATCCCCTCCACACCTCATACCTGCTCCCGCAATTCTTCTCCCCTGGAGAGCCCTCACTGCACCACTGCCCTCTGTACATGGTCCCCTAATGCTCAGCCAAATTCCTGCCTTTAAACAAGATCCACCCCCACCTCTTCTGCTCTCGTGGATATTTCCACCTAGGACACATGTGTCACGCAAGCTATCTCATTGGATCACATCAATCCTGCCCGCTGTTCTTTGTGCTTTGGTTTATTCTTGTCAGGCCTCCTTCCTAAGGAAACTGCAATTCCCTTCAAGGCAGACTTTGTCATAGCTAAGTGATCCAGTGACAGCTTCATAGAAGGGATATTACCCCCTCCCTCTGATTCTGATCCTTAGCTCTCTCTCTCTTCCTACAGAGGAGCCTCCAGAGTTCTTGCCTTTCCCATCTCCTAAATCCTTTCTGGTCAGACACTAGCTTGCAACCCCCAAACCACTGTCAGGAATGCTCAGATGGATATCTGCTTACATAATCCATGGTGGATTTGAAGTAAGTTTATACACTCAGGAATGAGCTACCATAGAAAGACTTGGGGGTCCGACAGACTCTGGGTCCAAATCTTGATTCCTCTATTAACAGGCTGTGTGTCTTAACCTTTCCGAGCCTCAGATATTTCATGCAAAAACTAGAAATAATGATAGCTATCCTGTCAATATGCCATAAGGAAAAAAATAAAATGATATACGTATAGTGTCAGGCCCATTGTGGGTATTCTATCAAAAGTTTTCTCCTTTGTCCTTCTTCTGTCTCTCGTTTACTGAGCATGTACTATGCCGGAATCACATTGCTTAATCTGAATATACAACAAAGGATAAAAAAGTCACACTATCCCAAAAGGGCTTGAGGCAGATGTAAATAATTATGTGACTAGTTAATTATTACAAAAATAAAAAATGTTCCAAAGAGCAGGTACATAAAGTATACAATGCATAACATAAGCTCAAACCTGAAATTATTCAAGTGAGATGAGAGTGTGAGGAAGAGGTGTTTGGGTAGAACAAAAGGAACACCAGTGCAGTTGCTGCTTAGTGAAGGGAGGTGACCGCAGGGTGGCTGGGGAGGTAAGTCAGAGAAAGCCATTTAGGACATTTTTCCTGACAGTCAATGACAGTTTATATATATATATATATATATATATATATATATATATATATATATATATATTCATATTATATATATAAATAATATATATAATATTATAATATAATATATATAAATAATATATATAATATCATATATATAATAATATATATATAACTCCAATATATATATATTCATATTATACATATATATATTGGAGTTATGGGAAAATAATGATAGCCACAACATGACTTTTTTAATCTCCCTGAATTCCTATGTGAAAGAGGACAAAGCAGCTAATAATCAAAAACCCAGAAGCAACGAAAGTAGGTGACAGAGTGTTGCCATGAATCCTGAGGCACAAGTAGGTGTGAACGAACAGCTAATAGCCACAGAATCTGATGGAATGCTGGTGTCGGCATGAGAGGAAGCCAGGAGAAGCAAAGGGGCGGCCAATAGGTTGGGATGGGAGGATGTTAGAAGAGCCAATAGGCACTCCATGAAACCAGGGTGGAAAAATCTGAGAACAGCAGCTGAGCCATGAGGAACCCAGCTCGATCCAATGAGGGATGAGGGCAAGGTCAACTTTGGTTAATTTGGAAAAAGGCCACTTGAACTCTTGCAATTGACCAAACTCCCTTGCAGGACAGGGCCCAACATTAAGGAGAGTCTTCTGGGTATGGAACTGAAATTCAACGGACAGGAGGAAAATAGGGAGAAAGAAAAGGGAGGGCAGAGACAAAAAGAAAAAAATAAAGGTGAGAAAGGGGATAAAGTCCGGAATTCTCAGAGAGCAAGCCACCAAATCCACACAAACAATGGGAGTGGAAACTCTGTTAAGCTAGAAAAGGTATCCTGAACCATGTCTCACTAATTGCTCAGGGAAACTGATTTAATATAAAAACAAACAGAAGAAAAATATTTTGAGGTCAAAGGCCATGCAAAGTGGTAAGAAAAAAAGAGAAGATAACACACCATTAGGCATGAAAGCATACCAAAAAGTTATTTGTTCAAAGCAGTTTAAATTATACTCTAGCATTTAAAAACAAGCTGAAAAATGTTAAGAAGAGATACAGGTCATGAAATAATAACATAAATAAAAATCAGAAAAAAACAAAAGTGGAATGTCAGAATTAACAAAGAATTAGAAATGAAGGGAAAGGTCATGTTAAAAGTGAAGAATATAATTAAAAATCACAATAAATACATATGATAATAATGACATGGAGACAAAACATTAAAATAAGGAGAAATTTAAAAATTAAAAAAATAAAGAGTTTAAAAGAATTTGAGAGAAAATGATATACACTGGAGATAGACAAAGAAGATCCCAAATAAGCATAAAAGGAGTTCTCGAAGAAAATCCAAACAAGAGAACAGAACAAATTTTAAAAACCATACTTCAATTACTTGTTCTTTAAACTGAAAACAATATATGATCACTTAAAATTTTTATGGTTTTTACTGGTGCATCGTAATTATATATAATAGTGAGGTTTATTGTGACATATTCATACATGTACATAATTTGATCAGTAACATTCATCAATAGCATACCTCCCTCCCTCTTGATTTCCTCCTTGTATTCTATTGGTCTTTCTTCTATTTTCATGAGATTCTCTTTTTATTCCTGTTTTTCTCTCTAGCTTCTGCATATGAGAGAAAACATTTGACCCTTGCTTTCTTATTTCACTTAATATGATTCTCTTCGGTTCCATCCATTTACCAGCAAATGACAAAATTTCATCCTCATTTATGGCTGAGTACAACTTCATGTGTATATATACATATTGCCTTTATCCATTCATCTGTTGATGGACACCTAGGTTGGTTCCATAACTTGGCTATGGAATTGTGCTGCTATAGACATACTATATTGATAAGTATCAATATAGTATGGTGATTTTAGTTCTATCAAAGAATGGGATAGCTGGGTCAAACAGTGATCTCACCTATTTTTTAATTTGAAAAGAAAACTCTATCAATTCAGAATAAATAACACAAAGATATAATCTAGTAAAATTAATGGACTTTAAAGAATAAAAATAAAATCCTCTGGGTGTATAGACACGGGGAGGAGGTAATATAAAGGAAAGAAAATTAGAATATTATCAGAGTTCTTTTTCTACAGAAGTGCTTTTTGCCATAAGAATATGGAGTTACACATTTAAGACATTCAAGAAAATGTGATCCATGAATTTCATATCCAACAAAATTGGCTTTTAAGTATAAAGAGCTCAGACAATTATGAATGTGCAGAACTCAGGAAATGCTGTCTGCATGAATGTTTCCTGAGGATCTATTTAAGAACATTGTAATAATAAAGGGTTACCAGGGAGATGCAGATCAGTTTGGTGTGTAGCCTACAAGGTTCTCCCTTCCCCCTGGCTCTTGATAAGTCCCAGTGCAGAAACCTTGTCTCTTCAGCCTCTCTGGCCTGAACTGTCTCCACTCCCCCAGTTCATATGTTGAAGCTCTAACCCCCAGTGTGATAATGTTTGGAGACAGGTCTTTTAAGGAGATAATTAAGGTTTAACATTGTGAAGGACTATGCGTACAGGGGTAGGAAGACACTGTAGCTTTTTCAAACTACTACAGATGTCAAATTCTCAAAAGAGATTTATGAATTCCATATAAACCCAATAAAACCTTAATGTCTTTTATTGTGACTCTCCATGAGAGAACTCACTCTACTTCCTCCCTTTGTCTATACACCCAGAGGATTTTATTTTTATTCTTTAAATTCCATTAATTTTACTAGATTATAGAACTCACTCTACTCATTTGCCTTAGATATCAAGGCAAACTATAAACTCAGTATAGTATGTCAGTATGTTCTCAGTATAGAAAAGAGCCCACAATCACATTCATATGTTAATAGACATTTGATTTATGAAGTGTAGCACTGTAGAGCAGTGAGCAAAGGATCACCTTTTTCATAATTGGTGTTAGTACAACTGTCTATCCAGTTGATTGACACGATAATTAGAATCCACCTTTATCTAGTTACAGAGGTTTCAGCCCCCAAAGCCTAAAAGCAGGTGATTCTTTGCTTAAGATGTCCATGCTACTTCTGGAAAGTGATCTAATTCCACTTCTTAAAACAAGTTCTATAATCCAGACTTCTAGTAATTCTGCTGAAGAATGCAGGAACCAGTGATTCAAGTATTTGCCTTCAATATTCACTTCATTATTGTAATGTCCTTCTTACCTCATTCCTTTCATACCAGCTGACATTCTGCATTTTGGAGAATTCCTGGGATCGTTTCACCACAAAGTAAATGAGGTACCCACTTCCACACAAACAGCAGATGATGAGGAAGTTGGCCAGGACACGAAGAAATCTTGTCAAATGGATATTTTCTTCTTTGTTACTCTCTTGTTCATCCACTATAGATTCCTTAGTTGTATGAAAATGAGATATGAATAAAGTCAGGCCAGGAACCAAGGTTGTTGAGTCCCCGAGAAAACCAATTTTTGTATTTCCATAAATAAATATAAATAATACAGGGGGAATGATGTAATCCCCTGTGTCCTAAGTAGAATTAGTTATTTTCTTTATGAAAACATATTTTTAGCCAGGTGTGGTGCATATGCCTGTAATCCTGGTAGCTGGGGAGGCTGAGGCAACTACTAGGCTACTAGGCAGCTTCTCATTTATGCCATTATAGCATGAAAGCAACCACAGACGATGTACAAATAAATAGGCATGGATATGTCTCAACAAAAGAAAAAATTTTTCAAAAGTATACAGTAGATTGGATATGGCTCCCAGGTCATAGTTTTCCACATCAGTTTTTATCCATGAATATGGTATATTTCTCCATTTTTTAGGGTTTCTTAATTTCTTCAATAGTTTTGTACCTTTTTGGTCTATTGGTCTTGTATATTGTGTGTTGGGGTAAATTTATTCCTAGATATTTTAAGTTTTGGATACTATTGCAAATAGAATTTTTAAAATATTTTCTAGTGGGGCATGATGGTGCATGCCCGTACTCTCAGTGACTCGGGAGGCTGGAGGCAGGAGGATTGCAAGTCAAAGCCAGCCTCAGCAACTCAGTGAGGCCCTAAGCAACTTAGCATGACCCTGTCTCAAAATAAATAAATAAATAAATAAATAAATAAATAAATAAATAAAAACGGCTGGGGATGTGTCTCATTGGTTAAGTGCCCCTGAGTTCAGTCCCTGGTAACCTCCACACCAAATATTTTCTAATTGTCCTCTGTTAGTATATAAAAAATATAATTGATATTTGTTTACTAACCTTGTGTCATGTAACAGTAACTCTCTATGAAGACACAACTAGTAAGTGGTAAACCTAGAAGGAAAAATGAGTTTCTCCCAGACACCAAAGCCTCCTTGAGAGGAGACTTCCTACCAATTATCAGTGTCTGGTTGGTCACTTTATATGAACCATCATTCTGTAGCCCACCCCAAATCTGTTCTGTGAACAAACAGTGTGGTCATTTTGTGTGGACTGTAAGAAACATAGGGTTGATTTCTTGATTCCCACATCCTTATACCAGAGTTCTCAACTCCTCCTGGGTGTTCTAATCACTTGCAGAGATTTTTTTTTTTTAAATGAATGCCAGGCCCACGCACAGTGGCGCATGACTGTAATCCCAGTGGCTTGGGAGGCTGAGGCAGGAGGATCACGTGTTCAAAGCCAGCCTCAGCAACTTGGCAAGGCCCTGTGCAACTTAGTGAGAACCTGTTTTAAAGTAAAACAGGAACTGGGGGGTGGGTGGATTGTGGGGAGGGCTGGGATGTGGCTCAGTGGTTAAGTACTCCTGGGTTCAACCCTTGGTAGCAGCAAAACAAAACAAAATGAATGCCAGGACCCCCTCCCAGGCTAATTGCATCAGAATCTTGGAGGTAGGAGGTAGTCCTTAGGTGACTATAGCAAGCAGAAAATGTTGACAAGTGTTGCCCCAAAGAGTACTTCCATTTTCTCCAGCAGAAAGCAGTTTCCCATGGAAATAGGCAGTACCAGATTCCAGCATCCAGGATTTTCTACCGTGTGAGAAATGGGTGGTGGGTACCTGCCCCAGCCATCCTACAAGCTGGGCTTATGCTTCAGGTACAGCTCTTGCCATGGATTATTTGTAGGATCTTATTTCCAATGTCCTAGATGGGACAAGTCTTTTAATACTGAAGGACCTGGAGGTATCTGGGAAGTAGTAACTGCCCTGGGGTAATTACCTTGAAGCTGGTGGTGATGGAGGCATATTTGTTATCAGCTGTTTCTGAATTCCCAATCAGGTAGTCCCAGCTGGTGAACATCTTGAAGCTGAATGTGAAATTGTCACTCTCCCCGTCGATTGTGCTCCCCTGGGTATTGGTGGCCATCCTGTGGGGTGCACATCACTGTTCTTATGCCTGCCCTGTTTCTGCTCTGTTACCCCAAGGGGACCTTGGCCTGAGTCATTCTTGACACAGGTAGCAAACAAACAGGTAACAGACACCCAAAGAGGAAACAAGCTAGGCAGGGGCTTGAACCCAGGCAGCTTTAATGAAAGCCAGGGCGCCTTCTCCTCCTCAAATTCAGAATCCCCTATAAGCACATATTGTGTCAATTGGGTAACAGGCAGCATGCAAGACGTAGGACATCTGACTATGTATTCTACCCTTGCACTTGATTTCCTCTGGCTTGACTTGCCTGCAAATGCAATCTAAGAAAAAAGTGCCCTTTATAGGGACTTTATCCTCAAAGAGAAACACACTCTGTAAATCATCTATTTTCTCCGATAGAGCATATACCTTTTTGCCTGTTATGAAACCCAGTGACCCCTGAGGAAGTTGGTATGGCTATCAGGTAATACATTTTTTTCTTAAACAAGCTTGGCTGAAAGTAGCTTAGACCTTCCTTGTGGCCCACATGGTTCAGCCCTTTTTCAGCCTCTCTGTGCTCCCTGGAGTTCAGCCCTGTGGGAATCACAGAATTCCAAGCAGGGGCTCGACTGGATAGTAGGGGGGCTTTGTGCTTCTTCCTAATTCTATCTCACGTGTTGGCTTTTGGGATTTGACCTGCCACAGGAGTTAACTCTTGGGTTCATCACAGAGACATTCCATATCTCTATACTTTTCTGGGATAGAAACGGTCAAAAAGTTATAGCATGAAAGCTAAGAATAAAACTGAGTTTGTCTCCTTGTTTTGTCCCTTTTGTTTGATAGATGCGGGTGGCCACATGTCATGCAGTGGTCACTGTCAAGTGCTGGGCAGGGCCTATGAGCAGCAGCACTTTCCCCTGAGATGATGCAATAGGAAGCCAAGCCAGGCTCCCCCATGACCCTCAGGAGTTCTCACCAGGCTCTGCAGTACTCTACAACTGTCTTTCAGACACAGCTCCACATTCTCCTGGGAGAACCACCCCTTGTGGCTCTGCTGAGGGGGATGTGGGCCCTGGTGGTTGGGTCTGTGTAGGAGACTGTGCCTCGCACCCCACACCCCCAGCATGGCTAATGGGTTCCCCAACTACTAAGAAAGCAATTCACAGGACGGGGCAAATGTTTTCCTCAGAGAAAATGAATTAAGAGGCACAGACATATTAAAAAGCCACCTCTTGCCAGGCATGGTGGCACACACCCATAATCCCAGAGGCAGGAGGATGGCAAGTTTCGAGCCAGCCTTAGAAAAAGTAAGGTGCTGGGGCTGGGGATGTGGCTCAAGTGGTGGCGCGCTCGCCTGGCATGCGTGCGGCCCGGGTTCGATCCTCAGCACCACATACAAACAAGGATGTGTCCGCCAAGAACTAAAAAGTAAATTAAAAAAAAAAAAAAAAAGAAAAAGTAAGGTGCTAAGCTACTCAGCGAGACCCTGCCTCTAAATAGAATACAAAATAGGGCTGGGGATGTGGCTCAGTGGTTGAGTGCCCCTGAGTTTAATCTCCTGTACCAAAGGAAAAAAAAAAAAAGCCATTTCTGACCACAGAGAGGTAGAGCTGGGGCCAGATAGATTGCCATGGTGAATCACAACTGCATATGTTTATTGAGTATTGGTTTATTGGTTATATCTTTACATATTCAGTTTTTCTGAAGAAGCTAAATTCTGGAGGAAAGCAGAAACAAGCCTTGCAAACCTCAGGCATTACCTTACCAGATGACACGCTTCCTCTCAAGCCATACTGATCTTTTGGCAATCTCGGAACATGCTAGATTATTTGTTGCCTCTGGGCATTTTCAAGTGCCATTTCCTTTGTCTAAAATTTTGCACCTCAGACTCTCAGCATGGCTGGCGGTTCTATGCCTTATCTAAAGGAGTTTCTATCCCATATCCCAGAACTCCCCATATTACCTGGTTTATGTCTTTTATACCACATGTTATAATTTGCCTATGCTTTGTGTACATGTTTCCTTGTTTTCTCCGTAAGAAAGTGAGTAGGCATAAAGAGACTCAGGGAGTGAGTTTTTGTGTGAAGAGAAGTAAAAATCTGTCACTGAGACGATCATACTTACGATCTAATGACAATCATCAGGCTGTAGCCAAACACGCTGATCCCCACCATAAAGTAAGCCATGGGCAGCCTGTACCTCAGCCACCCAATGGTCCTCTGGTTGTTATAGTAGCCGTAGAAGAGAGCAGAATACTTGATGTAACCCTGCGGGACAGCAAGGCCGATGCTGTGGGTTTGCAAGCTCAGAGAAGACGGCTGTCAGATACTTCCATTCTACCAGGGACTTCGGTCTCAGTTTTCACTGGGGTCGAAGGGTTAAAGAAGAGTTCTGGAAGCTCTTGTTCTTCCTTCCACCTCCCCACTGTGGCTCCAGGGTCCACCCAGGTGTTCTCCTCTTTCCCTTCTTCATTCCCTTTTTCTCCCCATAACACAGAGTGAATAGAGACAAGGAGAGGAGAGCACTGTCCACATTCAGGATCAATCAGGGACAAGGGGCATGCATAAGTGTGTAGCCCACCCCTGCACCCACAGGCATGCACAGCTCAGGGTTATTTTTCCCTATTCCTGGGGTTTTGGGTTTTTTTTGGTTTGTTTGTTTGGTTAGTTTGGTTTTGGTTTTTGGTACCGGGGATTGAACCCAAGGGTGCTTAACCACGTAGCCATATTCCCAGCCCTTTTTATTATCATTATTTTAAATTTTGAGGTAGAGTCTCACTAAGTTGGTTAGGGCCTTACTAAGTTGCTGAGGCTGGCTTTGAACTTGTGATCCTCCTGCCTCTGCCTCCTGAGCTGCTGGAATCACAGGCATTTGCCACCGCCCCCAGCCTCCCTGGAGTCTTAATGCTCTAAAAGTAGATGGGCGTTTGTGAGCTTTCTCAATATTTAACAGCTTCTAAAGAAAATTACACACCCTAAAGCCCACAGATGAACTGAATTTCAAATGTTGTTTTGTTTTATTTTTGACTTGGGAGTTTTGACTTGGGGCTGTTGGTGTAATAGTACAATTTGGGGTTGTAATGATTTAGCTATAATATAAACTCAGATTTTTAGCCCCTTTTTATGTCTTTGCTAAATATAAAGCAAGCAATCTTTGTGGAATATATTCAGTTTGTTTTTGGCAGATAGAATATCTCAACTGGGATCCTTGATGACATAAAGAATAAGGGAAATCCCCAGTAGCAGTATAGTTGGGTATCCTTGTTCCAAATCACTTGGAAAATTACTCCAACTCACTTTCACACATTTCTGAAGGGATTCAACCTGATTTTGAGAGTAAAGGATGGCAGCAGCAATGACCTGCTGTGGGTGTCAGCATGGCCGTGGCCAGCCTTCGGAACCCACCCCTTGGAGCTGCAGGCTAAGGCATGGAAAGGTGGGGACTCAAAAAGGCAGGGAGAGCCGGGTGTGGTGGCACATGCCTATAAACCCAATGACTCAGGAAGTTGAAGCAGGAGGATCGTGAGTTCAAAGCCAGCCTCAGCAACAGCAAGGCACTAAGCAACTCAGTGAGACCCTGTCTCTAAATAAAACACAAAATAGGGCTGGGGATGAGGCTCACTGGTCAAGTACCCTTGAGTTCAATCCCTGGTACCAAAAGAAAAAAAGGCGGGAAGAGTGTTTCAGGTAGAAGATCATGAGCCAGAGGACCATAAGCCAGAGCATGGTGTGGCATGCGTTCAGGGACTTCCTTGAAACTTGGTAGTGGTGGGGCACTGAGGTGGGAAGTATTAGACAAACCCAGGACCAGCTAGGGAACAGCCAGGTTGTGAACAGTTCCCTTGTAAACCCTGTGAGGAACAGTGATTTAATTCCATCTTGGAAATGAATATCTGAGGTCAGATCTGCAGTTTAGAAAGTTCACTCTGGTGCAGAGGAAATGGAGATTTAGGAGCCACACTGTGCAAGGGGGAGAGGGAGACTGTTTCAGTGGCAGACCTAGGAAAATGAAGGCAGTAGTCAAAGCAGACATAAGAAGGATGAGAAAAGCATTTTGCCTGATGCTGGCTTCCTATTTGATGAACATGCAGACTTTTCAATAATTAAATGCAATATTTTACACCATTCCTGGGATCTTTCACCTTACAATCACAAAACGGGAGTGCATGTTGGCAACAGTACCTCAAAATCCCAAAGGACAGAAAAGTCCATGGCTTTCTCTTCCTCAGCCCGAGGCACAGTCTTTCTGGGAATACTTCCATAGGGCATGCCCATCAGCACCTGACGTAGGGACAGAGTGACATGGTGTAAATGGAGAAAATACGAACACACGAGACAGTGTAGCTGGATAAAACTTCCCTCAGAGCAGGAGACACTCATTAAAAAGCACCAATCTTTAAATAACATCAATCACTTTCCTGACTTAAAAGTTTTTGTTTTTGGTACCAGGGACAGAACCCAGGAGCGCTTAACCACTGAGCCGCATCCCCAGCCCTTTTCTTATTTTTTATTTAGAAACCGGGTCTCATTAAGTTGCTTAAGGCCTCGCTTTTGCTGAGGCTGGCTTTGAACTCACAATCCTCCTACCTTTGCCTCCCAAGCTGCTGGGATTACAGGTGTGTGCCATCTCACCTGGTGCTGTACTTTCCTGATTTTAAAACTAACACACACTCATAGAAAAAGTGGGAAAGTATAGAAGAACATTTTAAATATTATGCATCACCTTCTACCAACTCTATTCAATATGCTAGATAATCACATATTTCCTTTTAATTATTTCTGAGTTCTCTATACATTTTAGCTTGGTTATTGAGCTTAATATTCTTTTATGATCAATTCCCTCTGTCATAAGCTATTTCCCCAAATAAAGTGAATTTGGGGTAATGTTGGGCTGGGGATGTGGCCCAATGGCAGAGCACTTGCCTCATACATGTGAAGCACTGGGTTCGTTCCTCAGCACCACTTAAAAATAAATAAACAAAATAAAGATATTGTGTCCATCTATAACTAAAAAATTGAAAAAAAAAATCTAATGTTGTGCATGTACCAAAAACTTACTTTATGAATTCCCTGTTGTGGAGTACTTCTAGTTCTTTGTGTGTACATATTTCTTAGTATTCTTATCCATATGCCTTATTCACATCTTTAAGTATTTTTTTTAAAAATCAGAATGAAATTACATTTACATATTGATTTAAAATGGATGGACTTTTGGCTGGGTGCAGTGCTCCACACCTGTAATCCCAGGAGCTTGGGAGGCTGAGGCAGGAGGATCGTGAGTTCAAACCCAGCCTCAGCAATTTAGCAAGGTTCTAAGCAACTTAGCAAGACCCTGTCTCTAAAAAAAATATAAAAAGGACTGGGGATGTGGTTGTGGCTGAGTGCCTCTGAGTTCAATCCCTAGGACGAAAAAAAAAAAAAGATGGATTGACTCTTTTATGATATCAAGTTGTATCCTTCTAAGAATGTATCCTTTCATTTGTTATCTGAGTTTTGTCCAGTAATACTTGATAGTGTTCCTCATAGGAATCTTCTTATTTGATACATTTTCACTAGTTATTTTATAGATTTATTGCTGTTGCAAGTGTCAAAATGTTGAATTCTATTTTAAACTGCATGTTAGAAGTATGAAAATTCCTGAAGATGTTTTTCTATTTAAATTTACTTCAGACATGTCAATATACTCTTTATTAATTTCTAGTAGTTTTTGATTGAGTACCTAAAGTTTTAAGGGTCTGCGATCAGATGACCTCAAAAATAAAATAATAGAGTTTTTTTTTAGTACAAAATGCATCAGATTCTCAATTTTCCAGGCTCACTGAATGAGGGAGAAATTTCAAAATAATATTGAAAAGTAATGAGGGCAGGGATACACCATGTCACTCTTGATGTTTGTAGCACAAGCTTCATCCACTCTTCCTACTTCAGATTTGTGCCACTTTTAATATTTCACTACTTTGTTTTGTTAATTTATAGGCTCATCATTTCATGTAATATTCTTCTGTTTCTTTTCATTTTTAATTTATTTTCTTATTTGGAAATAAGTTGCATAAAAAGTAGCATATATAGTACATATGTACAGTTGATTGTAATAAAAAGAAAATTAACTATTGGGCATTCACAAAAGTGAAAAAATAGCTTAACAAACAGAAAATCACCAGGACTTTATAATACCCTGGGTAAGAGTCTCCAGAAGCATATCCTTCTTCTACCCCAAGGTGCAGCCAAGATGTAGTTCATCTTATGATAACCATTTCTTTGTTTTTCCTCACATTTTACTCACTTATTGTTTAGCTTTGCCTATCTCTCTATTTTTTTAGGTAAAAGGAAAAAAAATCACTGAGATAATAATTCTATACTGATCTTAGGGTCAAAGGTAAAAAATATGTAGTATCCATTTCTTGATTCAAAACCACAAGTATTTTAGTTCCATTCTTTGTTCTGAACTATCTGGGCAATTAATGAGAATATAGAATTTAAAAATGAATGACTGACTCTTCTTCAAACAGAGTATTTGGGTAAAATAAAGCCTCAACACTATACAAAGATACAGAAATTTTTGTTGTTTGTTTGCTTACCTCTGGGATTATGACTAGACCAAATATTAAGCCAAAAAGGACAAGGTTAACTCCGTACATCCATCGGAGAAAGATGAAATACGAAGCCACTGAAGAACCAAAGTGACCTAGAGGGAGAAAAGATGGTGGATTTAAGGGTGCAGACGAAGGAAATTGACACTACTGAGTATTTTGTGTGTGTGATAGACTCAATTTTCACATCAGTCTATGGAACAAACATCTTGGTCTCCATTTCCTTTTTCCAGATAAATAACCTGAGTCTCCAGGAGGTTAACTGAGCTGCCCAAGCACTTGCAAGTGAAAAGTGAAGAAGCTGAACTTAAATCTTGGTCCTACTAGTCCAAAACCCATCCTTTTTAAAATACAACAGAATCTGTGAAACAATCTAATCAGAAGTTTAAGAACACAATCCAAACTCTGGGAAGACTCTTCAACTGAAAAACAGTGATTCCAAAATACTCACTTTCAATATCCTTGATCTTCATTTCCCAGGGAATACACTGAGTCTTGAAATTATCAAAGTCTCTCTTAAACTTGATCCATTTCTGAAATGGAATAGATAAATATTAAATGTTGTCCTAGAGCACATTGGGGCACATTGAGAGACATTTTGATGTTGCCATGACAATGTGAGGTTGACATGTGGGTGAGGTTGCCATCTTGGAATCCTCACTTCTGCATCCCTGAGCTCAGGCTACCAGAGGTGAATATTTAAACCACATTTGCTTTCCCAAAGTCAGGTGCGGAGTGAAAGAGAAGTTAGGGGACCATTAATACGTAGCATTTGTCTACAGTGCTGATAATATCTCAGGGTTGGACAGTTTAAATAAGAACTTAGAAATTTTGAGTACAACTTATGAGCACAACCAAATTGGGTTAGTCATCTTTTATGCAATATTTTCTATCTTCAAATAGAAATTCAAGGGGAAAAGAAACCTCACAATTTTCATAGTCACCTTTGGCAGACAGCCAAGGATCTAAATCTAATAGGAATTGTTAAACTAGGAGACTGGTGGGATTGGAAAAAAAAATTCTCAACACATGGCTGCCCATTCTTCTTTGGGAAAAAAATGATCCTGAATTTCTGAAAGGAGTTAGGAAGTATTTTCCTCCCTCCAATAGTGATGTAATTTGTATCTGGAATGTCCCCAAGACCTCCCTCCAATAGTGATGTAATTTGTATCTGGAATGTCCCCAAGACCTATGCGCTGAAGGCTCCTTCCCCAGAGTGGCATTATTGGGAGGTTTTGGAATATTTAAAACGTAGGACCTAGAGGGAGGTCTTCTGGTTATTGGTGGTGATAGTGGTACCCTAGCCCCTTTCTTCTTTCTCCCTTCTTTTGCCAGCAATGAGGTGAGCAGATTTGATCTGCCATGTGATCTTGACATAATGTGCTGCCTCACTACAGGCCCAAAGCAATGAGGCTAACCACTCGTGGACTGAAACTTCCAAAACTGTGGGCCCATTTTTTTTCTCTTTATAAGTTATCTCAGGTATTTTGTTACAGTGATGTAAAGGTGACTAACACAAATATGGGTTTTTTTTTTTTTTAAAGAGAGAGAGAGAGAGAGAGAGAGAGAGAGAATTTTTTAATATTTATTTTTTAGTTCTTGGCGGACACAACATCTTTGTTTGTATGTGGTGCTGAGGATCGAACCCGGGCTGCACGCATGCCAGGCGAGCGTGCTACCGCTTGAGCCACATCCCCAGCCCACAAATATGGGTTTGATTCCAGCTCAACACCCAGAGTTTGTATCAACTGGAAACTAGAGAAGATGTCTGTCTGATGGGTAGATGCTATTTTGTTGATTCAAAGGGTTTTCTCCCCACCAACCTCAACCTCTAGAAATAAAGCCATTTAGAAACATAAAAAAGACTCATAGAAAATAGCAGGCTAAGAAAGAGGTACTAGAAAACAGATGCTATTAGTTTCTATTATTAAAAATTCTCCTAAAAACTAGTCCATGAAGGAAATGAGATGTTACTTTGCAAAGTCACCAAAGGATGAAAGGTTTATGCAAAGGAATCAGGCAAGCTTCCAGATCCGATTTTCTAAATATGGTTTTGACAATATTCTGATGGAATGATTATTATGGAAAGAAGAAAACCACCTGTCTGAAGAGAGAAATGGTCAGAGATGCAAAAGAGAAGAGGGACCCATACGCAGAGGTGTGATTGACCAGACTGGCACAGATCTGGGGAAGAATAAATGCTAGATGCTAGCTGCTCTGGCCCCATGGCTTCATGCACTCTGCCTACTTCAGATTCTGTGCTGACAAATAATCTTTGATTCATTTGGCTTCCTATGTAGCTCTGTTGATAAGGAGAGCAGCTGCTAGTCACTGGGGCTGTGTATATTTTGGTTTCTCTGGCGGTGACCTTCATTAAGTTAATAGTCTGAAATCAGAATGAAGGTTTAGCTTCCCATACAACTAGCTTGACTATCCAAAATAGAAGGGACTGTCAAAGTGGACTTTGAGTTTTCCAGTTCTTGCATCAGTAATTTCTCCTTTTAAATTAATAATCCAGCATCTGGTTTTATATATCAGTCTCACAAGCTTTATTAATGTGAGTCTTCTTCCGAGAGATGGATCTCCTGTCAGAGTGCTGATAAAATCAGCATAAAACGCAGGCTCGCAAGGCTGGAGACGGGGAGAGGTAATTAATGTGGCCAAGTGAGGCCCAGGCTACTGGCGGGTACCTTGGCAACCACCTGGTGGAGGCTGTGGACACTTTCATTAGTTTGCAGAGTCAGAAAACCAGGCTGGGTGTGGGCAGAGGATCCCCAGCCCCTTCCTCAGCACTGTGGGAGCTGCTGGCTGTGGGACTGGGTCATTGTCATGTCATCTGGCTCCCCAGCTATTGATAAGAAAATGGCTTCAAGTAGGGATCAAACAAGATCCAGGCAAGTGACACATCCTGTCTGTGGATGAAATTGGGATCTAGTGACTAAAATGAAAGCAACCAGTGAGGCCTGAGAAACAGTACTGCTGAATAAGGAAAAAGAGACACCTATTCTTTGAAATTTGTGGAAAACATTCCTTAGGATATATAAATAAGTTCTAGGAAGCAGTTTGTCATTCTCAGTAGAATGCAAAAAATCCGTCTTCTAAAAGAGAGCAATTTAAGATTTTAAAAAGAATATGGCGCATGCTTGTAATCCCAGTGGCTTGGGAGGCTTAGGCAGGAGGATCTCGAGTGCAAAGCCAGCCTCAGAAACAGAGAGGAACTAAGCAACTCAGTGAGACCCTGTCTCTAAATAAAATACAAAAAAAGGGCTGGGGATGAGGCTCAGTGGTCCAGTGCCCCTAAGTCCAATCCCTGGTACCCCACCTCAAAAAAAAAAAAAAAAAGAATATGAGGTATAGAATGACTACAGGAAGCTAAAGGTTCTATAATGAAATGAAAAGAAATATTTGACATAGTAAGAACAGTAACTGACACAGAGGAAAATGGATTCCATGGTGTTAAGAATATGCCTGAGAATTCCTAAGACTGCAAAGAGAGAGGAAAACAAAGAATTAAAAACAGCGAGGGCAGGTAACAAAGGAAGGTCAGCGATCATCCTCTCCCTATAGAGGAAGCTGGATCTACTTGACAGAAACATGACTGAACAGACTCATTTACAAAGACATATCTGACTAGAGATCTGCCGTACAACATTGTGCCTATATTTAACAACACTGTATCATGCGTTTAAAATTTTGTTGAGAAGGTAGATCTCAATTAAGTGTTCTACAATTTAAAAAACAGTGAATACAAATTTAAAGAGGAACAACAACCTATTTTTTTCTGTTGTTGTTCATTTGAGTTTGAGTTGCTACAAACTGGGAACAATAATTTGGAAATGTGCTTTAAAATTTAAAATATGCATGCTTTTGAACCAGCCATATTATTTGGGGGACTGTGTTTTGTTGGATTTACAATAAGTGTTACAAAATTGTTTGTTGCAAGCTTGTTACAGCAAAATCTAGAACAACAACAACAAAAAAAGGTGTATCGAAAAGCACATTCCTCAAATGGAAAAAAAAAGATCTGAGTGTGTAGTCATCAAGTATTCAATAGTTATTCAACAAAATTAATAAAATGACTCAGAAATAATTACCAGGTGTTTATAACTGATAAAGGAGAAAAAAACAATACTAGGAATAAACAGTTTCAAACCCAGCAGATATAAAGAGTAATTACAAAAATTATGGCGCATATGCCACTTTCTGTTAATGCAGATGAAAATTTTAATGAAATGATCAAGTTTGGGGAAGAATATGAATTATCAGGAGGGCTCTAAAAAAAGCTAAAACTTGAATACACCAATCAACAAGGAATGCATGAAAAAAAATATCAAGGTATTCTATAAAGATGGAATTCACACAAACAAAAAAAAATTCATGCTCCATAAAAAATGATTTACAGCATAAGGAGGAGATAATGCTATTTGTTCACTATTATAAAGCAAGTATATTCCTAGTGCACCCTTGTGCATATGTGCGACACAAATTCAGATCAATCTTATGAAAATGTATGTAGTACATATAAATAAAATACTATCAAGTCATGTGTGTCTGAGGAGTTAAAAATAATGTGCTATGACTGAGATTATCCCAGAAATAAAAAGGAAGTTTAATAGCTAAAAGGCAAAGGTGCTTAATAAAATCTAATATCTATTTCCAATAAAATAGAAATCTTGACCTATAACTAGAGGGTAATTTCTTATTATGGGAAAGTCTATTTTGAGCTGACAAGTCCCATAAACTTAATGTGAAACACTAAAGTCATTCTCGTTAAAATGATGAAAAGACAGAGACCTATGGTTATCATTGTCAACTGAAATTGTTCTGAAATTACTAACTTGTGCTTTAGGGTAGAAATTACATATCACATTAGAAGAACCAAAAAAACCTTTTTAATGTGCCTAATCAGATGAAAATTATTAGAATGAATAAAATTAATAAGAGAAGCCAAGGGACTGGGGCTGTTGCTCAGTGGCAGAGGGCTTGCCTATTACATGATCCCCAGTGCAGAAACAAACAAACCACAGTACAATAAGAGAACCACACATAAAATTAACAAAAAAGTGTAATTTTCTACATACCACCCAAAGCTAGTTATTAGATTAGTCCATTCACAAAAGGAACTAGAATATAAACTACATAGAAATAAATTTAAGACATGGAAAAGATCTATGTGAAGAAACTGAAAAACTTTGCTCAAAGAGGCAAGAGAAACATGCAGTATTCTTTGATGCAAAGACTAAATATTATAAAGATAAGAAGCCTGCACAAATAAAATGGAAGATTTTTTAAAATATTGATCAAAATCTCAATGGGCTATATTAGAGTTTTGCAAAGTGATTTAAAAAAGTGCATATGGATGGCTGGGAGCAGTGGAGCACACCTGTCATTTCAGCAGCTCTGGAGGCTGAAGTCAAAACCAGCCTCAGCAACTTAGTGTGGCCCAAAGTATCTCAGTGAGACTCTGCCTCAAAATAAAATATAAAAAGGGCTGGGGATGTGGCTCAGTGGTTAAAAACCCCTGGTTTCAATCCCTGGTACAAAAAAAATGCATATGGAAATAATACATTTCACAGGCAGGGCAAGCCTAGGGAAACAAAGAAAAAGAAGAAGCTGGAAGTATTAGGCATCAAAACTGAGAGTTGAAGCAACTACATCCACACTCAAGCCCTGAAACAGGCTCTCTGCAAGAATGAAGTGGATGCGAGTGGTAGTTTTTCAAATCTGTGAGTACTTCAGTCCCCTCAAGGAAGGAAATTTCAATAAGTCCCAGGTTAAATGTCCCACCTCAGACCATTACCCTTGGATCAGATGCCCAGGGGGTGATATAACAGAGTAGAGCTGCCTGCTGCCTCTGCGAACATTACTGTTTATCATCCAATGCTGATTATACCACAGCCTTTTTGGGTCTCCAAAAAGGAGAATAATAAAAAACCCCAGTGGGTTTTGTTTTGTTTTTTTGTTTTTTTAGTTTTTTAGGTGGACACAACATTTTTATTTTATTTTTTATGTGGTGCTGAGGATCCAACCCAGTGCCTTGCCAGGTGAGTGCACTACCACTTGAGCCACAACCCTAGCCACCACCCTCCCCCCCAGTGGTTTTAACGCCATTCATTCTGTGAGTTCATTCGCTGGTGAGGAAACAGGTTTTACGTATATGGAAGCCTCCACAGAATCAGCATAGAGGAACCCCGAGGACACAGTTGATTTCCATCACTGGAGGAAGGAGAATGGTCTACTGGGCCTCACTCTCAGGATTCTGGGGGTAACTGACACATGGTGTGGGGGGACAGGTGAGGCTGGGGTCCTCCACGTTCCCAAGCAGAGCAGACCCTCCTGGCAGGCTGGCTGTCCCCTATCACGCACCTTGGCCATCATCATCCTGTAGGCGTAGAGTCGTTTGCCCTTCCCCTTTCCCAAGGCTCCTTCGTATTTCTCCACAAAGGCTTGGGCCTCCCTGGTCAGGAGAAAAAAGTTGGGGGTGGGTGGGAATTCCATTAACATCCAATGAAAGGAAATCTAAACGATGAGGGGTTATAGGGCTGAAAGCCTGTGTGCTTTTATGCCCCTGGTTACAATATGAATTCCACAAAGGCAGGAAATTTTGTCTGTCTTGTCCATTGAAACTTCCCAAATTCCTAGAATAATGCTTGGCATACACTAGACACTTGTGATAGGCAGAGTTTGCCCCCCAACCCCCCGCATGACTTTTGCCCTTTGGTGTCATACCTGTGAATAAACTGTTAAATGGCAAAAGGGACTCTGTGGGATTGAGATTACTGACTCTAAAATAGGGAGATTATCATAGTTATCTGGACAGGTTCAATGTAGTCACATAAAGCCTTAAAAATCTATGTGGAAGGCAGAAGAGTTGGAGAAGAGTGTGGAGAAAGGGAAAGTTCCAGAAATCAGAAGCAGCTAAGGACCTCCGGATCAAGGGGATGACAGGGCATTGGGTTCCCTGGCTTTTCTTTTTGTCTTCTAGATCCTAGACTGGATATTGGCAAAGCCTGCAACCCAGAGATCCTGCCAACCCTGCCAGCAGCAGGGATTCTGGCCCTCAGAGGCGGGAAGAGATGGCAGATTTCTCCTCTAAGCAGGATTTGCAGCCTGCTGGAGATCTTATTTCTTCAAGCATCCAGGTTGTTGTTGTTTTTTTTTTTCCACCATTAATAAAAGGTGTGTTCAGGCAACACCTGTTGGGGGTGAGGTTCTGTGATAGTGACAGGTGGCTATTCAGTCTTGCTGATAAAAGGAAGAACCCATCCTAGAAGAAGCAAAGAGAAGGGACTCAGAAAAAGGAGCCTGGGAAGAAGCCAGCCAACTGCCTAGAGCTGAAAACACTATCCAAATCGTAGCCACTAGGCGCACGTGGCTACTTGAAATTTCAAGTTATTTTTTATTTTACTGTTTTAACTGACAAAAATGTAAATATTATAATATTTGTGGAATGACAAAATCATGCTCATTAACATAAGCACTTTTTCACTTTGCATTTCTTTTTGCAGTGAGAATCCTTAATATCTACTCATTGCCATTTTTAATATGCAATACATTGCTATTAACTATTGTCATTTTTTAAAAATTTAAATTAAAAATTTTTCAGTTTCCCAGTTGCACTAAGTGCATGTCAAGTGCTGGTTAGGGGTTATTGGGTTAGATGGTGCAGCTTCAGGAGATTTCCATTGTTACAGAAAGTTCTATTGGTCAGTGCTAGCCCATGGCAGGAGCCTGAGGCACCTCAGGGAGGCATTTCTTCTTGAAGCTGCATAGAAGGTCATGCAATAATCTGCACAGTAATGGAGTAAGCTCTACGTGTCAGAAAACCTGACAAGTTCTGCACTGTGTTGATGTGGTCAAAATCTTTGCTATGTCAAAACAGTGTTAAAACATGACTGCCTAACGGTTCTCCTAAATAACATGAGTTTGAGTTGAGCATGGCAAACTTGGGTGTGAGAGGAGCCAGGGGAAATGAGCTTTACACAGATGAAAGAGGAGAGTGAGTGTCGTCTCCAGGGATGTGGTGGAAGAACAGAGGGGGATTTTCTAGTGGAAAACCAGAAGCCATGCAGTGTGGATTGAAAATCACAGCAGAGATGTAAGAATCAAAAAAATGATTGGTGGGCCAACTTTCCTTGGGAAACCAGAGAACTAGCTGAGTCTAAAAGAAAAGTCAAGTGGCATAGGCAGAAGGCCCAGTCTCTTTTCCAGAACCATAGTCAAAGAGCACCACTCCCTGCATGGCCTTGCGTTAGGTTTTGGGGATGTGCGGGTAATTAAGTCCACCTTGTACAGGTAAGTCACTGCAAGTGAGAGCCACACGGGGAGGGATGTTGGGGGCTTAACCATTTTTTGAAGATTTCAATGACATTAACACAAGCACAATAAAATAAGTTGGAAATCATACTCTAGAGCTTATATGCCCTTTATAGATATGTTCATATACACATGAAATATATACATATTTCCAAATATTGTATTCATTCCCCACAGTACTTTTCTCAAAAGTATAGATCTCTAAAAAAATAATAATTATTTCAAAGTTACGGTAGTGGTAATTTGTTGTTCAATTTAAATTTTTACAGTTCCACATCTGGGACAATGGGACAACCGGTGTTAAAGAACACAAGAGAGAGCTGATCTTGTTGGGAAGGGGCATCCTGGACAGCTTCCCTGGGGAAATCCTTCCTGTGCTGGGTCAGAAGAGAGGCACAGAACCACCAGATGAGCTGGGGCATGGGAGAGAAGATGGGCAGGCAATGGAAGGGCTGGGTACAGGTCTTCCATCTCTCCTCCTCCAGGACCTGCTAGGTGCTGGCAAACCTCAAGTCCTGCAGGCTTCGATGGCATTCCCTGAGTGCTGCACTCAGCCTGGGGAGGTGAGGAAGGTGAATCCTCCTTCTTGTCTAGTCCCTATGGGACCAGGAGAAGGAGGGGCTTCCCATTCCCATCAGAAGGAGCTGAGGCTTGTGGATCTCAAGAAGCCTGGTTAACTGACAACCTACCCACCTGAGCTCCGTCAGCTTCTTTGCCATGGGCCAGGGCTTGTTCCTCATGGTGGCGATGAGCTTCTTTTTTTCTTCCACCTGCTCCAGGATGCGGGCCAGTTCCTCCTCAGAAAGGGACTCCCCACCAGAGTTACTGGAGGCCAAGGAAGATGATCTAGGGGCAGAGCCAGGGCAAATGGAGAAGAGAGCTGGAAAGGAAGTAGATGTGGAGCAGCCCACAGGCAAGATGGCAAGGCATGATCCCGGATCACGCCCACTCCTGCTCAGATGCTTCCAGTGACTCCCACTGCCTGTCAGAGGAGGCCAGAACTTCAACCTGAAGCTCAACCTACCACACAGCTGCCTCCCCAAACTCTATTTCTCTGAGTGTTCCCCCTCCCCCTACAGACTATCCTGTGGAGTGCTGACCAGTAGAAATAGCCATTTGTAATTTAAATGTTTCTAGTAGCCACATTAAAGTGGTGAAAAACGAATACAATTAATAACACATTTCATTTAATTTAACCTAACATTATAATTTTAACATATAGTTAAAATATGAAAATTATTGAGATAGTCTTTTTTTTTTTCTACTATCTTCAAAGTCTGGTGTTTGCATTGCACTCCTAGTGGAGAGCACTTCAAACACTAAATTTCCATCAGACACACTTGATCTGTATTTGGGTTTCATAAAGTTATAACTGAAAAAGTAGATTCAAGTACCCCGATTGTTTACCTAAGTTTCCCAGTAACAGAATCAAGTGCAAAATAGTATTTTTCTTTGATATTTGCATCCTCATTAACAAAACTACTTGGCCATTTTGAAAAAGAAATGCATTGAGCCAGGCGTGATGGTGCCTGCCTGTAATCCCAGCAGCTCAGGAGGCTGTGGCAGGAGGATCTTGAGTTCAAAGCCAGCCTCAGGAACAGCAAGGAGCTAAGCAACTCAGTGAGACCCTGCCTCTAAATAAAATACGAAATAGGGCTGGGAATGTGGCTAAGTGTTCAAGTGCCCCTGAGTTTAATCCCCAGTACCCTCCCTCCAAAAATTAGACCCCCCCCAAAAAAAAACCCCCAAAATTAAAAAAGAAATGCATTGGCTTCAAAATCATATCAATTAGTTTCAAAGGTACACCTACGTCAGATTCACAAACTCTTAAGTCAATGGTATTAACATTGAATTAAAATTATGTTCAGTTAGATTAAATTGGGAATTCAGTTCCTTAGTCACACTGTGTTTGGATTTCAAATGCCCACCAGACTCATGTGGGTAGTGGCATATTGAACAGCACAGGTGTAGACAAGCTCCCATGAGAAATCCCCAAGCAACGACCCTCCCCATCTCTCAGATAATATTATGTGCTCAGTTGTGTACAATTTATTGTGTGTGCTCTGTACAGCCTCACTGAAAATATGTGACCCTCAACTGAGTGAGACAGCAGGTGACAGGGTTGAAGGAGAAAGCCAGAGAAGGGTTAGGCCCACCCAGCCAGTAAGTTTCATAAACAGAAGAATCTGAATGTGAACTTGGGCTAGATTTTTAAAACCCATTTTCGGCAGCCTCTGTGAGTTTTAGCTTCTGAATAACACCCAAGGAGCAAAGGAGAAGAAGTCTGAGCATGCCCTTGAACATTGGAAAGCTGAGATCGGAGGGTCTTTTGGCTGGACTTCATACACATCCCATGATAGCTGTCTTTGAATTTTTGCATAGTGAGTTCCTTCCGTCTGGGGAGTTGGGCATTCAGTCATTGCTTGTTTGAATTCCACCTGTTCTTCCAACACTTACTGAAATGCTTACCTTCTTCACGAAGGAAACCCGATGCCCCAGAACCCGGGCAGTACAGCACTCTATCAAAGCCCTTCTTGTGTACACATGGCTTTCTGCCTTGTCTTAATTGATGCCTGTGTCTCATCTTCCCTGCTAGCCTGCCTGTACCTGGGGAACTGGGACTGAGTCTTTTTCATTTCTCAGTGCCCTGTCATGGCATCAGGGGAAAATGCCATGAGTCCTTGTGTGTATACCTTACTTTGCATTTGTCATTTAGGATCTTACAGGATCCCTCTAAAGTTCAGGATTCTCAGGGTCCATTAACAAAGCATTCAGATTCTAAGTTGACCCTTTAATAGCTTATCATTAGGAACAAACAGCAAAGGTCCTAACAAGGGATGGCTGGTATGGGTGACAGAAGCAGTCAGTAGCCTCTTTAGAGGGTCTCACTTTGCCCTCTGTGAAGGTGGAGAGGACAGTAGACCACCTGACTAAAGGTATGCACAAAGGAGGTTTGTAGAACCCAGAGAAGGAACATCAACTCTGCCATAATCCTAAAACCCTTTCAAAAGCCTCTCAGCCATTATTTCAGGGGATGCTTAAAACATCCTGAGAGCTGGGCACAGTGGTGTACGCCTGTTAGTTACCTCAGTAGCTACCGAGGCTGAGGGAGGAGGATCATGAGTTCAAAGCCAGCCTCAGCAACTTAGTGAGGCCCCCAAGCAACTCAGTGAGACCCTGTCTCTAAAATGTAAAAAAAAAAAAAAAAAAAAAAGGCTGGGGATGTGGCTCAGTGGTTAAGCGCCCCTGGGTTCAATTTCCAGTACCAAAACAAACAAACAAACAACAACAATAACCTGATCTCCAGTGAATGACAAAGGGAGCAGAGCAGAGACATCCATCAAAGCTGGTCCCAAAGAAATGGAACAAAAAGTCCGATCTGCTCATTTCAGTGACCTGGCTCTATCCACTAACCCTCGTGTGCTGGTGCTAATGGAACAAAGGAGAGGAAACAAATAATTCAAATCCTGAAATCCTAGAATTTCCGAGCTAACATAACTCTTGGAGTTCTAGACAGAATTCCATTTTTCTAGAAAACAGTCCAGATAAGGAAGGAGTGTGCTTAATCCCTGTGATGATTCCTGAATCCAATACTGTTCACTTTTCTCAGTTCCTTAAGAGCCAAGGCGAGTCACCTGGTGACACCTGAGGTCTCGTCCCACCCAGCCGTGGGGCCGCATTAAGAGATTCTCCTGCGCGGGGGTGCACGGGTGGCTGGGCGAGGGGCCCAGGGGCCATCCCACCTGTCACCGTGCACCTTGCGATCCTCATCCCGGCTCTGGCCAGACTCTGAGCCCCAGGCAGTAGCAAAGGCGGGGCAAAGTGAAGGGGCAGCGGGGGAGCAGGAGCCCAGCAGGACACCAGCCCCTCCCAGGGGAGGGGAAGGGACGCGGAGCCGAGGGACGCGCCGGCGACACACACCTGGGTTTCTTCGGCCTCTTCCTCGTCTCCTCTTTCCTCGGAGCGTCCTTTTCCTTCTGTGGGGGTGCCCTCTGCTCCTTGAAGGAGGCCCTCCGGTCCCTCTTTTTCCCCCCCTCGCTGGTCCTCTCTGTGGCGCTCCGCTCCTGTCCCTGCAGCTCCCCGCGGCGGCCCGGGCGTTCCGTCGCCTTCCTCCGGGGAGACCCGGTTCTGGGGCTGCCCCGGGCCGGCTCCTTCAGCCCAGGCTGGGCTCCGCGCCTGCCAGGGGGACCCTCGGCTTTGGGAGCCTGCTTCCTTGCCGATCTCCCCGACGTGTCACCTGCAGAGTCAGGAAATGGACTGTGCGGGTTTCAGCCCAGGCAAGTGCCCCAGCCAAGAGGAATCTAACGTCCAGGATGCCCCCTGTAGCTCGACAGCTCTGCCAGGGCCACAACATGACACCCCAGAATAACACAGGACCGCCTTGCTTTACCGTAAATCCTCCTCAAAAGGTTGTGTTTTAATTAGATGTTGGGGAAAGTTGGCCTCTGTGTTCATAAATAAGTCACTTACCTTTTCTGCACCTCACTTTCTTCATCTATAATTGGTTCAAGTAGCCCCAATGTCCTAGCATGGTTGAAAGGGTTAATTAAAAACAGGTAAGGTCCCTGCACATGGAGGGTATTCAATAGAGGTCAGCATATTCGAACATTGATTTAAAGACGCCATCCATGCCATAAGCACCCACATAGTAAAGCACCCACATTGCTATTTGCTTGTAGTTTTCCTTTAGGCTTTAGAGGTTCAGTCCATGGTCAGCTGACTCCATTGCTGTGGGCCTGAGGTGAGAGAGAACATTGTGGTGGAAGGGCATAGCAGAGAGGTGCTGCTCTGTTCATGGCATCCAAGAAAGCAGAGAGAACTTGGGGACTTTTTCTTATCCCCACTCCTACCTACTTCCTGGCCACTAAGATGTTCTGCCTCACCACAGGCCCAGAAACAATGGCTGCAGCCAAACACCCGCTGAAACCATGAGCCAAATTCACCAAATTCAATCTTTCTTCCTTTAGGTTGTTTTTCTCAGGTATTTTGTAACAGTAATGAAAAGTTGACTAATACAGAAGCCCTTCATGAACCAGTCTGGTAGTATTCCAAGAAGCAGCTGGGATTGTTTTAATCAGGCGTGGCAAGAGGCACAGACATGGAAGTGACTTTCGAGAAGGAAGAAGCTTATTTCATTCACAGATCCCTAGAATGGCAGCATGCTGTGCTGTGCAGGGCCATACAGGGAAGCACTGAGGAGACAGAGAGAATGGGGGAGGAAATGTAGACATGGGTCTTTATTATGACTTCCACCGGAAGGAATGAATGAATCAGGGTGAGCAGGTTTAGAATTGTCTAGCTGAACAATTTCTGTGGATTTTGGGGCTATGAACTTTACCTAGTTGTCTGGCCCTGGGGTGATTAGGGCAGGTGGGTGGTGGCCCAGAATGAGAACCTGATCAAAGGAGTCCTTGAGGGTAAGAGGTCTGAGTTGGCTGATTTGCAGATGAAAGGGCCCCTTGCTTCATTCTTTGCTTTCTCTAGAAACTAGCTAAAACCAGGAGGGTTAATCCTTCCAGGATCAGCAAGTGCCCAATATGTCAAAATATCAGACTATAGCAAATAAAAGGAATGGTTAATACAGGTAGGAACATTTAAGTTGCAATTGATGAATTGCTGGAGTTCAACATGGCTAAGCTTGAGAGTTAAAAACTATAGGAAATAAGTGTTGATGGGGGCATTCTTTCAGGAATTTTTACCTCCAGGAGTACTACCATGTTCTTGCTGTGAAAACTAGAGGAAAAATCCCCTGGTGCTTCCAGCAGAGGGAGGGAAAAGTAATCATTTTGAAATATGTCCATAGCATTCTGATGTCCTCAACAAAGTTCTGCCCTTAAGGGAAATTGTTTTGTCACAGTGAGTCTTAATGGACTCAGTGTAAAGGTTCCTTCTACTAAGGGAGGGAAAAGCTGAGGAGTACTTGTGAAGGTCACAGCCCAGGGGCACAGGCTTACAAGAAGACGGAGACATATTGTACTATAGAACACTTCCTCCTTCCCTCACACCTTACCACCATATCAATAGGGCTCCTGCATAAAAACAGGAAATACAACACCTAGAGCATGATCCATGGGGGAAAAAAGTTGGAAAATTGTTCTTCACTAAAATTAAAAACTTCTAGGCTGGCATGGTGGCACATACCTGTAATCCCAGCAATTTAGGAGGCTCAAACAGGAGGACTGCAAATTTGAGGCAAGCCTCAACAACTTAGGAAGGCCTTAAGCTAGACCATGTCTTGCTTAGTGAGACTTAGAGAGGCCATGTCTCAAAATAAAAAATAAAAAGGACTGGGGAAGTAGTTCCATGGTAGAACACCTCTGGGTTCAATCCCCAGTACTAACAACAACAATAACAACAAACAAACAATAATAAGTGTTGGTGAGGATGTGGGGAAAAAGGTAGACTCATACATTGCTGGTGGGACTGAAAATTGGTGCAACAACTTTGGAAAGCAGTGTGGAGATTCCTCAGAAAACTTGGAATAGAACCACCATTTGACCCAGCTATCCCACTTCTTGGTCTATACTCAGAGGACTTAAAATCAGCGTACTATAGTGACATAGGCACACCAATGTTTATAGCAGCTCCATTCATAATTGCTAAAGTATGGAACAATCCTAGTGCCCTTCAATAGATGAATGGAAACTGTAGTATATGTACACAATGGAATATTACTTAGCATTAAAAGGGAATTAAATTATGGCATTTGCAGGTAAATGAATGGAGTTGAAGAATATTGTGCTAAGTGAAGTAAGCCAATCCCAAAAAACTACCGAATGTTTTCTCTGATTAGTGGATGCCGATCTATAATGGAGAGGGCATGGGAAGAATGGAAGAACTTTGGACTGGGCAAAGGGGAGAGTGGAGAGGGCTTATGAGGGCAGGAAAGATGGTGGAATGAGATGGACATCATTACCTAGGTACATGTATGATCACACGAATGGTGTGTCTCTACACTGTGCTCCATTTGTGTTTGATGAATTGAAATGCATTCTGCTGTCATTTACAACTAAGTAGAACAAATAAAAAATAAATTAATTAATTTAAAAGAATTAAAACTTCTCTGCAAAAGACACTGTCGAGAGAATGAAAACAAGTCAAAGTCTATGAGAATATATTTTTAAAACATATCTGACAAAGGACTTATATACAAAATATACAAAGACCTCTTAAAGTTCAAGAATAAGAAAACAAACAATTTAATTTAAAAACTGGTGCAGGCTGTGGTGGAGCATGCCTGTGACTGGGAAGGCTGAGGCAGGAGGATCACAAGTTCAAAGGCAGCCTCAGCAACTTAGCAAGACCATAAGCAACATAGCAAGACCCTGTCTCAAAATAAAAAAGGCTAAGGATGTGGCTTAGTGGCTGAGCACCTCTGGGTTCAATCCCCAGTACAAAAAAAAAGAAAGAAAGAAAGAAAAAGAAAAGAAAGGAAAAAAGGATTGAGGATATGACTCAGTGGTAGAGCACTTGCCTAGCATGCATGAGGCCCTCGGTTGGATCCTCAGCACAGCAATAAATACATAAATAAAAATAAAGTAAAATGGGGAAAATATCTGAACAGACAGCTCACCAAAGAAATTATACAGATGACAAATGAGCATATGAAAGATACATGTCATTAGGGAACTGTGAATCAAAACACCAAAGAAATACTACTACACACCTACTGCTAACACCAAATGCTGCCAAGAACACGAAGCAACAGCAGTTCTCATTTATTGCTAAAATGGTTACAGTCACTTTGAAAATGGTTTATCACATATTGAGCAATCGTTCTCCTATGTGTTTACCCCAGTAAGTTGAAAATTTATGTCCACATAAGAACCTGAACACAAATACTTGGCCTTATTCATAATTGAAGAATCTCAGAAGCAACCAACATGTCCTTCAATAGGTGAACGCATAACCAAACAGGAAGGGATACTTAGGAAGGGATGTTACTCAGTGACAAAATGAAATGAAGGCCTGGGTAATCTTGAAAGCATATTCCTTGATGAAAGCAGGCAGTCTGGAAAGGTAACATACTGAATGATTACTACTGTACAACATTCTGGAAAAGACCTAATTGGAGAGACAGTAAAATAATAAGTGATCGCCAGGGCTTCAGCGGAAAGAGAAGAAGCCTCAATAGGAGGACCACAGGACTTTTTACTCTGCGTGATACTGTGGATTATAGACACACAACATTATGCATTTATTGAAGCCCATAGAATGTATAACATAAAGAGTGAGCCCTATTATAAACTATGGGCTTTAGGTAATAGCAATGTATCGATATTGATTCAGCAGATACAACGAATGCAGTGTTCCAGGGCAAGATGCTATCCTGGAGGAAAAGGAGGAAAGAAGGTTGTATGTGAAACAAATTTCTGCAAAGTTTTTCTAAACTTTAGGTGTTTTTCTAAACACCTAAAACTGCTCTAAAAAAATCAGTTTTTCAAAAATGAAATAATTGATCAATGACACATTTCAAGTGAGTAATCAAGACATTTTTATTAAAGACCAAAGGTGCTCATTCGATTGACTTAGAAGCTATAAATAAGTGCTTATAAAAATCAAACATTCCAAAAATTTCCCAGAAACTAGGTGAAAATTTGGTAAATGAACTTGTTTATTATGTTTGTTTAATAAGAACAGCTATGTCTTCTTTGATTTATTAATATTAATTATAAAACAGTACCAGACATGGTGGCTCATGCCTGTAATCCCAGGGGCTCAGGAGGCCAAGGCAGGAGCATTGATTTTGAGTTCAAAGCCAGACTCAGCAACTTAGCAAGGCCCTAAGCAACTCAGTGAGACCCTCTGAATAAAATATAAGAAAGGTATGGGGATGTGGTTCAGTGGTTAAGCACCTGTGGGTTCAATCCCTGGCATTTTAGACTAGAAATGATCTAAGAATCTAGGTCTAAGGACCTCCCTCAAGACCTGCCCACCTAATAGTGCCATCCTGGGGACTGAGCCTTTAATGCACAAATATTTCAGGGGCACTCAACATCCAAACTATAGCAGATTCCTAGATCATTTCTAAGTAAGGGAGAATTCTGAAACACTATTAAGCATGATTTTATTTTATTTTACTTTTTAAATTTTTTAAGCATGATTTGAAACTTGTATACTTTTGCTTCTAATTTTTATATGCTACAAAGAAATTGTACCTTCAAGTTCATTTTTGTATGACTTTGAAAAAAACTATTATATGGGTTGTGTGTCTGTACAAAGTTGTGTAATGCATAG